TAAATATCATCTGTACTGTATATATACACGGCATATATGTTATATATATATATATATATATATATATATGTTATACTGTTATATTCACCTACCTCATGTATATAATAAAAACATCTCACTTCTCATACCAGGCAGTATACCGGTATACTCTGCAAAACATGAAGGCAGTTATTACATTACATTGATATATATATATATATATATATATATATATATCAATATCAAATGGTCACTATTCTGTAATAACTGCCTTCATGTTTTGCAGAGTTCAGGTGAAATAATAAACATAAATGAAATAACCAAGCAACCCACAACTGAGATGAAATTACTGGGTTATTATTACCAGATGTGTGGGAGGTATGCCAATGACAAAGCAACCCTGTCAGACAGAAATGTTTCCAGGTGTTGTTTATACATGTAATAAGACCTCTGATTGATTTGTACAACTGAACCTCTGCCCTTGTGCCCAATTGTCTGTGTGTGTTTCTTTTAATGTGTCTGAAAAGGTCAAGAATAACGAAGATTTCAAAGCCAGATGCCGACTATTTGTGACACATTTTCTTCCTTTTTTCTACTGCTGTACAGGAATTATAGTGAAGGCAGGTCAGCTACAGTGAAACTCTCTTATCGACCATGTAATCAATCACTATGGCAAATCAAATGATTCAATTATACAAAAACAAGTTACATGCATACAGAGCACACCAATACTACACTAGGTGAAAATAGTCTAACCCAATCACACCGACTCCAATAAATTCCCTCTTAGGAGAGTGGATCAATAGGTCAGACAGTGTGTGTGTCCTGCTGACTGGCTGACTGACCTCTTTACAGTACAGCAGGGCTGCACTATATATATATATATATATATATATATATATATATATATATATATATATATACATATATATATAACACACATACACACACACACACACACACGAAATAAGACATCCATGAGGTGATGGTAAATAAATGGATTATTTATGTATGTTTTATGAGTAGGGTTCACAATGTGGATTATTTCTTTGACCTGTATTTTTTTCTACACACCTGAGGTGGGGATGATTCAATAGTCCATAGCCCTGTTATAACCAAATCTAAATGATATTACTATTGTTAACACAAGAGAAACAAATAACAGTTCTGACTATGCAAAAGTTCATTTGTATTTTTACTGAAAAAGAGTAATGTGTACTCAGATCTGGCACCATATCATCAAGTAATCATCACAACCCCTGAGCTGAGACCAATTCTCTGTTAACAATAGATATCATCAGACCTATATTCAAGCTATTAATGCCCCTAAAAGAAAAAGTCAGATTTGCCATGAACAATGATGCCAGTTCTTCCACAACTGTTATAATTCAACATTTGACTGTTACACCAATTCCAGTTCAATCCGGTGACATTTTTTCATCTAGGCTGAACTTGCATGATCCATCAGTTCACTGTTCCAATAGAACAATTACACAGCCTAAGATATGATAGACTGATCACAGCAGGGAGGAACACGAGAGAGGGTTTTACACTGTCTGCCGATGAAGACAAAGACTGCTCCATTTTTACCTTCTGCTCCTGTTACACAAGTTTAAATGTCAGAAGCCTGCAGATAGATCCAACAGATCCTACAAATGACAGGTAAGGGGGTGTTTTATCTTTATGATGCAGTAAGTGAAACACATATCCTTACAGTTATCTTTGTACTACAGTATGCGTATCATACAGAGTATAACCAAGTATCATGAGCTATACTGACTATAACTCTTCATGCAACACAAAGATGCAAAAAGGTCACGCTGCACTGAAACTGTTAAGTGATTGGAAAAGAGTAGGTGTTTGAACAGAATATCAATTTACCAAAATGGGAAAGTGGCTGACAACAATCTGGAGTGCAATTACTTCAATTATTATGAAAGGCTCCTTCACTTTTTGGATGATATTCCATTGGTGTTGACTCAGCTTGCTATCTCTGCAAAGCAACCATTTCATTAGCGAGGGGGGGGAAAAATCAATTCTATGGCAAATCATAAGCTGTGTCTCATCAGAGTGAGTAAATGAACCCCTGCTCGCTGTTACACAGTCTGTTTAATACTGCAGCTGTGTGCTAGGGGTATGAGGAGGCAGAGATGGGGCTTTGCAGTTGAGTATTAGTGAGAAATAAAGAGAGAGAAGTGTTTGGGGTAAAGAAATTGATTACATGGAGGTGGTGTTTGCACAACATGAAGTAAGAAACCCAGGCTGTTCATTTGGCCCTTAAACATAAATGTCCACTCATATCTTACATAATACATGACATACTTGTACACTTACATACTAGTGTCTGTAAAGGCTGCACAACAAATTAATGTATTTAGGCAGAAACAAAAGTAAGAAAGCCTTTTAACAGATAATACATTAGAATTATACACATGGAAACGAACTAGATCAGTGGGAAACGATTCATATGCTTTCTGTGGAAATTGTCATTTACTGTAGAAACTCTCAGTGTGGTGTTACTGAAATCTAGTTTGGAGTCCAATGGTTTTGGTTCAGTTTTCAGCCCAAAATTATGTATTTTTCCTCAAAGGGTTTACAATATGTATAAGATATAACACCTGGGTGGGGCAACTTCTACTACTCATAAATAGAGAGGTAATTATCCTGATAATTAAACTACAGTCGTTGAATTATCGGTCCATAATAGTAAGTGCCATTTTTACATTTTCTTGTTAATCAGTGTGCCAACATTAAGATTACCATTAAGTTTAGTTATGACACAACATCAAAATGTAAATCTCCAACAGATCTGTAATTTTATTCCATCCATATAGGCAACTTGTATAACATTAAAAAAATATTTTCTCACATAATCAGGACATTATAATTATATACGAGAGCACTGTACAAAAAGTCCACCAACCTATACATATATATATAAATATATATGAGTTGAAATTGTATATTCAGCCATGAGGACAGCAATTGCCAATGGCTGCAAGGGACGTCATTTGGCACGTGGATGAGAGGGCACTTTAACATTTCCAAAAAACTCTCTTGAACTCTCTTACAGCTAGTGTGCCATCAATTAAGCTATCGTATTCCAATGGTGGCAATGCGTGGCAAACATTGGCCCCTGCCTTAGACCATCACATTGTCACAGTGTTGCTGCACTTTGTATTGGAACACACTTTGTAACAGCTCTTTTCTTTCAGAAGTTGTTTTACTGAGTGTTGTACTCATGTTTGAAAGGCAATCAAACTTTCACCAAGCTCCTTTTTGGTTTAAGCAGCGCAGCAGAACAGCTGTATTATTACTTCTGCGGCACGGATTCTCTACATCTGATCAAAACGAAAATTACAAGGAGACTTCCAGCCTCTCTCCTGGATTCTTCTTTCACAACTGAATGCACATGGATGGGTTTTCTTTGGGACAACAAGGGGTTTTCAAGTGCAATACCAAGGTAGCAGCTACACAATTTTCTCACGAGGAGAGTGGCAGACCCAGGGAGAGTTTTCATATATTCTCCTCTTACTACACCTCTTTCTCAATCCCTTTAAAAAACTGGCAGTTGCACAATGCAGCCTTACAATACACCCTCACAATACACCGTTCCCAGTCCAAACAACTCAGCAATGATCCGTGTCCTTGTGGTCAGAATAACTCTGCTTTGTCTTCACACTTCAGGATGCAATACACAGCATGTTAAACATTTACTGCATATGCTTATTTAACTTCGGAATAAAGGTGTTTTTGATGAGCACCACAAGCATCACCTGTAAGTCACAATAAACACTTTACTCCAATCATCCTCAATTGTCACATAAAGGATTCACAATTTAACTGTGCACACAGGTAAAAATGAGGAGAAAACACAGACAGGAGAGGTGAGACCAGAGGGAGAGACAGGTGGAAGAGGAAGATGGAGGGAGGAAAAACAAACAGAGAGAGCACACAGAGAGGACTATCATTGTGCAGTTGAGCCTCAATGACTGCTGTGGCATCAAAATAAGATTTCCTGTCTTCTTCGCTGGTTAAATGTTACAGTAGGCACGAGTCTCTGTCCACGGTGCTGAAACAAGCATCACTACTGCTCTCACATCTGTTTAACATGCAGCCAGTGTTTGTGTGTGTGAAGCACAGAACTGAAATGTCAGCACTTTTGCAAAACACACCATGTGCATGCGAATATTGCGTTGGCGTTGACAGTAGCATGGTGCATCTCAAGCTACTGTATCACCAGCTTTGCATTTCGTACTACAGTGCAGTTGTTTGGTTTAACTATCAGATCTCAGGCAAAGGCCAGTTCAGCTGAACAGTTTTGTATTTTTCTTCCAATCCTTTACTCTGATTACGCCTCACACCTGTGCGGTCCTGCTTTCAGCATGAAATCCAATAGCAAACAAAGGATGAAGTCATGCTCTCCCCTGGGTTGCTTAGGTGCCACACAGAGTAACCTCGGGATGAACACACAGATCCCTTGACTGGCAAACAGACAGAGAGGCAGGTAGTTAGTTAGGCTGTGTCCTCTGTAGCAGAACACACAGTAAAGCCAGCCCTGCTGTGCAATATCAATTACAACTGCTCCAACTTCAACAAACTGTAACAATGTCAGGCAGTGGCAGGGTCCAGCATCATCTCCTGAAATACAAATCGTTGATGGAAAGGCTAAGCATGGAAACGTGAGGGCAAATACAGCAGCCAATGTTCCTTTATGGGTTTCTGTGCTCCAGTAAACGGAGCACGGTGGGACGCTTCAGACACCAAAGTGCATACACATAAATGGTTTTCAATTTTACAGCCGATTGTCTCATCATCTACAGTACATGTGTATGGTTAGGTAGGTTTAGGGAGTAATAACCCAGTCCCTTAGTTACTCCAGTGTGACAGCTCACATTGCAGATGTGCGCTTATCATTTAGCACAAGTACATAAAAAAGCTGATTAACGCAGTCTGGTGCAAAGCAAATGGTCCATTAAATTGGCAACCAACAACTTAAAGAGTTGCATTTGCGCACTCACCTCAAACAAGGGTCCTATTTTATTCTTCTCCAGATACGACTGAATTCTTGACTGTTGCGGAGACGCCATGAAGAAACTGTTGTGCCGCGCAGGAGCTTTTTTTTTTGTTAGCAGGGTGAAATCATGAGGTGAGCCGGTGTCCTTCAAGAGGCGTCTCGGCGACTGAAATGTGCAAAATGTCACCAGTGTTGGGTTTGCGGTGGAACCGCGGTAAGTTCAGACGGGTTGCGTCAAGTGCGGAGCAGGCGGCTCTTAGCCCGGCTCATTGTTGAGGACTCAGCCCGGGACCATCCCCTAGTTTGTCGCCTCACTGACTCTCTGGCGGCAGCTCTCCCTGTAGAAACCAATGGCACGGCAGCTCTGTGACAGAGATTACAAATCTTCCGCTCACTGGCTGCCAGCAGTGTTACCAGTGCCACCGCCACTCCCATTTATCCGCCGGGCCACGTTCAACGCGATTATGTGTCCTGTAATGTATCTACCTGAACGCGGAGCAAAATGTCCACGCTAATCAACTGCGCAACAGCACGCGCGCTGACAGCTCTAAAGCAGGTGCAGTGCGTCCTGCTAATTACAGTAAGCAAAGTTGAAAGTTCAACAAGTCCTGTTTTTTAAATCTGTCATTCATTTTACTGCAAAAAACAAGCAGTAAAACCTTCACAGTAGGTTCCATAAGATACCGAAATAAATGGATAATTAAAAAAAATAAAAGACTAAAACTGGTATTGTTCGAAGTCTTGTTATAAAGGGTGAATTGGTGGTGTAAAAATACGTTCAGCCGTGAATCCATTGTTATCCATTTTAATATATTTTTTACATACTGTTTACATGACAGCATTTTAGTGTTTCAAAGAAAATCTGCAGCAAAAATCAACCATTTTCACCTGGATGAAACAGAGACATACAGTATATAGGAAACACTACTGGAGCTTATTGATGCAGTTTAATACCACTTGTTTGTTTGCATAGTAGTGAGCTAGACATCCACCTACAATGATACATCCAGTAATAAGTAACATGGAGAGACACTTTAATCCTGAGTACTGTCAATATAAAATAACAGAATATATCTCATAGCTCTACATCTGGAAAGCTATTATGTGTTAATACTGATAGACCATTTAGAATCTTCATATGCATGCATGTTACAGACAATGGGAAACAAGGGCATGACTCTTATACCACATTCACACACTAAATATGTATATTTACAAGCGAATAAAGATCATGAGGAACATTACAAAACACACATTCATATGGTTATCCAATACTGACAGAATTCGATAAAGCGTAGAAGTCAGAGCTAAAGAGAAGCAGAGAAATTATTGGCTAATTTGAACACAATAGAAAGCCAAATTTCATCCAGTATCCTTTTAATCAATATTATCTTGCTTATTTCATATGCAAATTAAACTAATAACATGAAATGCAAATGTCCCTCGTGAAAGCAAACATGATTTTCAGCCCATTATATGCAGACAGTGAACTGATGGGATTTACTCAATTTCATTGGGCTAATTTAAATGCATTCTCTGGCTAAAAATATTTTCCTTTCTAACTCTGAATCATTGTCTTGTAAGATGCATTACATGAAAAAAAAAAAAACTCAAAATATGTATAAAGTACAACAGTGAAAAATATAACGTATTAAAAATACTATTTACGGTTTTAAAATCCTATTTACACTTTAGGGCATCTACTCTGGATATATAAAATGGACCCAATAAATGTCTTTATTTAGGTTGATCCTTCATGGGTGGAGGGAGGAAAAAGGATGCTTGGGACTCAAAGCTCCTCTAGACTTCTTCAGCATCTTCCTGGATGCAATGCATTATGGGTCACCATCCGGGGGTGGCGGCTGGCACAACTTGTACAACCTGACCAGAGAAACACACATGCAAAATGGCATTTAATAACGTCCTAGTATATGTGAACACTGAACAACATGTGGAAGCATAAAGCAAATACAAGAAAATAAAGAACACATAACCAGGTATTATGCTGCAGATTCAGGAAGAAAACTGTCTCCACTGGGAAAATAATCATCCTCAGCAGCACACATCCGGCTTAAACAACATTAATTATGTTCAAACAGTAGGAAATGACTTCAGAATCTAGTTTTCCCCCCCACAAGGGTTGGTGGTACAAAATAAACTATATATACTATGGCTTGGTAAAATTTTAAAAATATGACTTATGCAGTAGTTACAGTTGTTTGCATTTGCAAGATAAGGTTGACTGCATTCATTTTTTTTACTATAACCATTATAAAGTCCATTAAAACTCTAATTCCTTCTAAAGCAAGCGTTATATGGTCTGTTCTGCTGCTTTAATGAATGGCAAACATCACTTTAATAGCACATTTATTTTGTATTATTCATAATTGATCAGTGTTTTTTCGAATCTCAGTACATTTCTTGCACTCTAATACAGCACTGCTGTCTTCTGCAGTTTAAAATATCGATTGCACCACTCACATCTTCTCCACATCACATGGTCGCACAGTAAACTCACACTAAAATTTTACTGTCCCTTTCATCTGCAGATCAGTGAACAGCCAGCATGTCTCCTCATCCACAAGCTTATACATTCTTCAGCAGTCACTCACACTGCAACAATTATGACATAAACCTACTGAGAGTGCAGCAATTTTGCTCTCCGACCACACTAATCATCCCACTACTTAATCGTATTTGTCAATTTCACTAAAAGGTTCAAAAGGGCTGCCTGTCACACAAAAGCCTATATGTCACAGCCAAATGGCTGAGGCAGTCCTCGTCCTCATCTTGGGGCTACTGAGTGCAGGGAGCTCCCTTCTAATGGAACCAATTGGCCCCAGTCCTGCACAAAAAGTACATACACAGACCTGCAATACTGTACAAATACATGCACTTTGGAAAAAGCTGAATTACACTAACTACACAGAAATGCATTTGCCATTTGCAAACCTATACAACAGGTTTTTAGACTGACGTCATACCTTTCAGAGTACACTTAGACCATTTTATTTATGTATTAATTTACTTATTTTTGGGGTCAAATTTATTCTATTGCCACATGGTAGAGTAACTGAGAGCAGAGTCAGTTTTTAAAAGACCTTGATGGTACATTCAAATAAGCTACAACATCTGACTGGGATTTTAAAACGTGGAAAGATACACAATAAGAAAAAATAGTAGGGCTCCTATCACAAAGTATCCAAACAATCTCTGTCCATCTGCAGTCGTAATCCTTTCACACAAGCAGTTTATCCCTGAAATATTCTGCATGTCCTTGTGAGTCGCATATCATTATGTTCTTCTGAGTAATGAGTACTATGTGCACAATATGCTTCTATCTTATATTTTACATGACGTACTATTTGTTTTAATATTTTTCATGTGTAAAAATAACAAATGCATAGCTAGCCAGTCACTTATAACCATCCATTACAAGGTGAAAAGGGGCAAGACTGAATGTTCTGAGTGAAGCTTCATGTGTATATGAATAGTGAAAATCACTAGTGGTGCCTGAAAGGTTGTGTGAAAAAAGCTTTTACAATATGATCTAGTAGTTTTGTGCTTTGATTGCTGTCGCTCAAATGCTCTAGGAAAAGCACCAGCGACGAATTAAAAATTCATAAAAATTCTAAACTGCATTAACATTTGACAACATAACTTTAATATAAAGACATCTTAATACTGAGTCATTACATATCATGGTCTCTCTGCAAGTTGATTTTAATGCCCAAGTAAAATTAATGGAAACAAATGGCTGCCTGGAAGGGGGGAAATCATTTAAACAACTATGCTTTACAAAATTGCCAGCAGTAATGACAAAAATGTATTTATAGTTAATGAGCTATAACAAAGCAAAGCTCACTAAGATCCTTCAATTTACAATGCTGAAGTTGCTCCACGAACAGGATGTGACAGCGGTTTTACCTTGGGACTGTTGATGGTGTGCGATCCCTCACTCCCAGATTCTTGGCGGAATTCTGAACTCTGGCCCCCTAAAAGACAAACACACATCAACAATTCATGACAACATGGACTGAAGAGCTTAAACAATGCTTCACAAACATAAGAAGTACTCGACGCCATCTTGGTCAAAATACATTTCTTATGATGTTTTTTGTTCCCCTCAAGTGAGATGAATGACTGGTGGTCACCTGTGAGAGAAAATTGATAAATTGTAGTATAAACAACCCCTGTTGTCTGACATGAATGACATATGTTGCATGTTGAGACCCTAAAATTTTAACTACTGTGCTGTGTGCTGTCTATCTTTAGTATCTGTCTTCTTTCAACTACATCTACAAAATAGCACATGCAGAAAAGTCTTTGTAAGGACATAAAAGTGAGTAGTAAGGCATTTGGAAGATGAATGGTTCCTGTTGCAGATTTTGATTATACCCAGTCAGGAGCATGTCTGCTTTTTGCTAATGTTCCTGTAGTTTGCTGGCTGTGCACAGCGTCGGCAGATACACAACTGTGGGGGGGCAGGAAGCAACTCAGCCTCTGAATTCAGAGACACGAACAACTGCACTCACACATATACCCTCTCTGACGCACACACACAAGCAAAAATACACAATTGAATCATTACTCAAAGACGAGACGCAGATGACCTGTGCAGATAGAAAGGGAGCGACTGGCCAAAGTGCATTAGCTGACCTCTCGGTTTCAACTCTGCTGTTTGCCATCTTACTGTCTGCCCTGAGTTGCGTGAAGATAGCAGGATAGCATCAGCAATTATTCGATGCCTATCACAGCCATCTATTCTGATGCCTCCAGACAGAGATGCCCCCTAATGTCCCGAAAGGACATGGCACCCAGGGTAGATCTGGTCAGTTAGAGACAACAGTGGAAACAAAACTATTTGGAACTTGATTTATATACCTAATATCTCTGAAACCCAAAATATCAGATGATATACTACTACTCTAGATCAGCAAGTCATGAAGAACTCTAGAAAAAAAACGTTCCTGATTCGAGTTTATGATTTTCCATTACAAGGACTTGGCTTACAAGTAACACGAATAAGAGGCAGCCATGCTAGTGGCTCTGTGACGCTGTACTTAGGCACAGTGTTGCTCTTAGCCAATTGCTAACATTAGCAAAATGCTGGTACTGGACAAATCCAAAAGTTGTCAAGAAATTAAACAAAAAAACGAAAATATAAACTTCATGGTGATGCTAGAAGAAACATCAGAGGATCACCATCTTTAGGATTCAGCCTCCTGAGACTACAGCTGTCTGTACTAAATTGGCAATTCATCCAATAGTTGAGATATTTCAGTCTGGACCAAAGTAGTGAATGACTGACCAACAGACTGACTGACCAATATTGCCATAGAGCCGTAATATGCATTTAAAGATATTGGACAAAAAAAAAACAAATATCACTGTCCAAGAAGCACATAAGTGCCAATTTGTGCATGCATTGTTCACGCTTGTTTATAATGAACATTGATTCATTCATGCATTCAAAATGCTGCATGTATCTTGTATTGTTTTCAAATATATATAGATAAATGAAACAAAACACTACACTTTTGTCCAAAGGAGCCTCCAGAATCAACACAAAATGAACACTCCTCGTCGGGGCTTTAATAAATAACTAGCTGGGAGCTGATTGTTTAATAGATGATGCACCTGCACCTATAACTGACACTTCCTATTCTGCTGAGGCTTTAATGGATGAAACATCAGTGAGAAAACATTACCTGGAAGGACATTTTTATTTTGCATGATGGATTTAGTTTATTCCGTTTGATCTGTCTTGATCAGCCGTGCCAAGTTTTCTCTGGATTTGCAAGTTGAAATGTATATAACAGTCATAACAGTTACAATGTGTTCCTTTCATATGTTGGAACAGGAAAAATAAAGTCCAAAAAAGTGATACCATGACTTATCTTCTTAAGTTAGTTTTGATAGTTATATATACTCTTCCTATACAGACTGAATATTGGAAATTGCTATGCAGACTTTTACAAATCAAGCTGTGATTGGACCCATTTTGCCCAAATCACTCATGCATTCTCATTCTGAATGATGTTGACTGGGCTTGATGGATGAGTCCTGCTGGGAAAGGATGCTGTGCAGATAGCCTTTTTGTGAGTAAATATGACTATTCAGCGAGGAAGAAGAGGCATCATCCAAACCCTGTGCGATATTCATATTCATCAGATTCATCAGCTGATGTCTGAGAGCAAGGACACACACACACACACACACACACACACACACACACACACACACACAGAGGCAGACACAGAAGAGCAGACTCCCCTCTGCTCTGTATCTGAACTGAATCATCTCTTCTCAGTGATGTCTAGGTCAATGATGACGCAAGAAAACACAAAATATCTAATGACAGAAAAAATAGTGGGAAAAAGTTCTGTTCTAACAGGAAGAAAACTAGAATTACCACCCTGTAGTCATATGCCTCCCCCAACAACTTAAATTGCAGTTTTCATCCTTGACTATCCAGACTCATAATAAATGTGAACTTGGTACTTGGAATTAAATAAAAATGTTGTTTTTTTTTATTTTTGGGCTAAATGCAGGATATAAAGATCATAATATTGATGATAAATATGTACGATTCCAGTGTTTTCTCCTGGCATTTTTAGATTCAATGGCTCTCTTTGAGCTGTAGATGAAACTCACTCACTCACTCACTCACTCACAGGATCACGATTAGCTAGGCGCGCTCCAATATGTTGTTTGCAGTCGAATGGAATTCAGAATGAGGCATTAGGCGAAATGCAGAATGGATGAGATGGAAAGATGACAACCTGTACTGTGCTAGTTTTTTTTTACCAATTGTGCGCAGATGTGTGTGTGTGTAATCTGGAATCCCACAATTCATTCTTTTATTATGGCTAAAAACCTACTTCGAGGTCACAACAACCTTTGATCTTTGAATGTCACCAGTTCCAATGGTGAAATATGTTCTCAATCTCCCCTGTGTTCCTGACTTATGGTGTTCAACCTTGGCCTGAATTTTTTTTTCCCAAGACATTATGACATCACAGTGAAGTTGACCTTTGACCTTTTGGGTAAAACATGTCATCACTCCACATCATTCTATTCCATTAAACAGCTCTGTGAATTTTTTTGTCATAAATCACACAATTCTTGAGCAATGACCAAAAACATGTTTAATCAAGATCATTTTGAGGTCAGAATGACCTTTGAACTTTAAGTCAAAAGTGTCATAAATTCTTGTTGGATCAATTGTGAAATATGGTCATCACTTCTTAAGTTATGGCCAAAAGTGTGTTTTTTTAGGTCACAGTGACCTTGGCCTTTTACCACTAAATTCTAATCAGTTTATTCTTGAGTCCAAGTGGAAAATTTCAAGTAATTCCCTCGGGGTGTTCCTGAGATATCACGTTCACAAGAATAACAGTAATGTGATATCTCAGGCATAAAAAAACAAATTAACCAAAACTGCAGATCTCCATACTTGCATCTTCTCATATTCCATTACAAATATCTCAAACCACACCCTCCACAAGATGGATATTTCTTCCAGCCACATACAGTAGTACTCAAGGTCACACAATGCACAGAGTTGCATCCTCTTGGCTGGCAGCCCAGTTCTCTGAGCATAGAAATTAAATGCCTTTGCTCCCACAGGATCTCAGCCTCTCGACTAACCTCTCCTCTCACTGCAAACAGCAATATAACCACCACTCACAGAACTTCTAATGAGAGTCTGAGCTATGAGCCAAGATCCGGTCATGGCTGAAGCCTTTTGTGGGGTGAAAACGTGCAAGAAAAGTAATGTGAATTTCCTTCCCTTGACCCCAAATAGACATGCCGAACAAACAAACTCCAGACTCTCACCCAATCTGTTCAGTTTCTAAATACTTTTTTTTACTCTCTCATTTGGTCATATTCATATTAGGGTTGCAGTGAATGCATAGCTGATTAGCAAGAAATGGAAAGAGGCGACAGAAGCAGAGCTAATGATTTTTAGGTAGGGAGCGCAGAAAACACGTCAGCAAAAAGTGTTGGCTGCCTTTAAAAATTACATTCTTACTGAAGTAATATTCTGTCAAACATTGACCACAGAAGCTAGAGGGACATAACTGCTCCTCTATTGGCACTGTTAAATCCATTGCTAATATAGTTTTGGAAGCCTAGTTTGACTCAGTGAAGCATACAGTTTATCTAATGATTTTGGATGCAGAAATTGCTGCTGTGGATTGAAGCACAAATACACTCTGAGTTAGAAAATGTCACAGTGGGGACTGTAGCAGTAATAACAGGAGGCAGAACTAAAGAGAGAGGATATGCAAGGGCAACATTGTGTATGTGTGTAAACGACATACCTGTTTCCTCATGACATCAGTGGCCTGCATGATGCAGCGAGGGGGCAGGCCGTGGTTTCGGGCCAGCAGGATGGCCTGCTCCAGTGTCACACTCAGGGTGCAGCTGTTGGTCAGAGAGGAAACACATAAGGTCAACCTTAAACATGCGCTCCCCATCTGCGTATTTATCAGATTCACCAAGGGAAAGGATGATGCTGAATTACCATGCATTATCAATGCAGAATATTGCTCCTTTTGATGCAGTTGTTGTTATGCCACATATTTATCCTCCTATTTCACAGATGCTGTACTATCAAAGCATACAGTCTGTATTTGACACAGTACAATCATCTACAGTGACAAGAAACACCTTCTTCTCTGACTCGACACTGACTCATTCTCAACATGCTTTCATGGAAATAAAGCAGTCTTTGCAACAGATGGAGATTGAATACGAGATCTTAAGACTGAACATCAACAAGAAAAAAAGCAAGCCAAATATCAAAATCTGGGCGTCATCCAGATATGATGAATCTCTGGCAGAATTCAGTACAACTATATCAAATCTCCCTGCACCTCTTGACTCCTTGTCATTGCCATCGCATTCCCACTGCTTCACCTTCACTCATCTCCTCGCTAATGAATCATTTTACTTGTTGCTGAAATGTCACTCACAGCAAACAAACACACAGCATCAGGAGAATAACAAACCTCCTGATCATTGCTTTTAGGCCGAGGAGGAAAAAAAAGGATTAAACACCGTCTTGGACTTTCAGCACTTGGAGGAGACTTCCCAGTGTTCTCATCATCAGGATTGATACTTCTTGTTGCGGCCGAGAGAAAAGGTTCCAAGGACAAGTCAGCACATCTCCTGTGGCAGAGGCGATGTACTCTCACTGTCATAAGGGTGTGATGTGTGTAAAATGAGTGTTGACGTGTTGTCTGTGATTCATTAGTTACAGCAAACTCTGTTCCAAGCGCGCGCACACACACACACACACACACACACACACACACACACACACACACACACACACACACACACACACACACACACACACACACACACACAAAGAAGAAGGTAGCATGTGGATAAATCCTTAGAGAGCCAGTGACAGGGATCAAGGCTGCTGGTGACCTTTCTATGATAACAAGCTGTACTAGTATATTGATCCAGGGCCTTTTCACTGCAAATTGAACTGTCCAAAGTTCCTACGCTGCCAAGCTTGGTTTCATTGAGTAACAGTGCCATGGGGCTGCTAAAAAATCTGAGCTGTTTGCTTCAATATCTCCTTCTCTCATGGTAGGGTTTCACACTGATTGAGAACAAAACTTTAAAAAAGAAAAAAAAGGTGTGCGTTGAGGGATTTATTGCTGCCAGAAGCCATTACTTTGAGTCAATCAGATCATGATTTAAACGTCCCCTTGAGTTCCAGTTGCATAACTTCATGACAGCGTAACATGATGTGATAAAAGTAATGAACTCAACAATCATCTCCAGTATGTGCCGAAAGATATCCCAGTGGAGAATAGAAAAAAGATGTCCTTTTGCAGACCACCCCGGAATATTTTAAGCACCCATTTTGAGCTTCCCACACCGATAAAGGAGGGGGGAAAAAAGTCACCCACAGAGGATCTTTAAATATCTCTTCAGCTGGAAAAGGATGAAGGAACTGAACAAAATCTGTGTGTGTGTGTGTGTGTGTGTGTGTGTGTGTGTGTGAGGCTGCACGGTTTCCCTTTTCATTAGGGCTGGTGAGATAGTATGAGGTGATTTATACCCATCTGTTTCATGTTGTTCCAGCCCATTCCCATTTACACTCCTCCAGAGCCAAGTCCATGCTGATAAATGAGAAGAAACAAGAGAGCGACAAACACAAAGAAAGGGAAAGAATGACAGAGAAGATGCAGGACTCAGAAAAAGGAGGGATGAGCAGAGGAGAAGTATATACAGGCCAAACATTTACAGCTGAGAAATTACTACTTTGACTTTAAGGAATAGAAACAAGGATCAAATGTCAAGTATTTGAGCAAGTTAGTGCCTTGTGTTTTGTGGAATGTGGATTAGGCTTTGGGCTTGGAATACTCCCCCCCCCCTCTGCTATCGTTTTTGTTTTGCTGTCAGACAGTGAACTCTCCTTTTGCCTCTCTAATGGTTTTTGTGGGGGTGATGGACAAAAAAATCTGGAGACTAGAGGAGCGCATTGTATTGCCAACTGCTGATGCCCCCAAAATATCACGCTTTCACTGTTATTAAAACTCATCCATCAAGTCAACTAATCCAATCAATAGTGCCTGAGAAGGCTGCCACACTGATAATGCAATTTCCACATTACTAATCTACTGGCTTGGTTTCATAGGTTTTTCAATTATACCAGATTTAGTTTGTGTGCTCACCATTTCACATGAGAAATACTGAGATTATTTCTTAATATTTGAAATTATACAGAGAAAGCAGTGCAATTGGTTCATTCATATATAATCTGTATTCTGTCAATAATAAGTGGGTTATTCATAAAAAACATTGACTGTCAAAGTAAATAATGTTTCTGTACACTTGCATCAGACAAAGTAACTCACTCAATAAACCTGGGTCTGCAGCTTGGGAGGGCAAAACAGTGTTTAAGGAGAAAGCCAGTTCACAAATAATCCTAAATATGGCAGGCCTTGTCACCTGCTGTGTCATGGTACACTTGGTCTGCCTGTCTGGGTGAGTTGTGGCTAGTGTGTATAATTGCACAGACACACACACGCGCATATACACGCACAGCCTGTGGGTTAATAAAGTAGCAGCAGTCATTGCACAGACAGGAACTTCTATTAGAGCTTAGGCAACCAGGCGGCTCCATCCACTGCACTTTATCAAGCCATCAGTCACATCCCACAAACGCGTTAACCCACATGCGCGTGTGTGTGTGTGTGAGCCTGTGCATGTGACTGAGACAAAAAGATATGGAAACTGTCATGGGGGTAAAGAAAGAGGGTATCAGAGCGATGGGTGGGCGGGTGGAGGGAAAGAGCAGTGTAGGAGATGAGAGATGAAAGCTGGAACAGGGGATCGGTGGTGACAAACGATCAGGATATTTCTGTCCTCACACGTTGAGGAATGGTGCCCTCAGTAGCAGGTGAATTAGGTAGCCATATATAGAATTCAATGAGAAGTAATTGACCTGTCTCCTTCCTGTGTAAAGTGCTATGCCTGCTTTAAAAGTCCCTAATCTGGACTGAGAAACAATGGGCCCTATTAACTACAATATCCTGCTAGTAATTAATGCAGAGAAATGTGTATTAATAGAAAATCCCCACGGTGAGGAGTGCAGGGTTCTTGTGAAACTGAGAGGTAGACAGAGGATAAAAGAAGGTGCACCGAACCAGTGTGGTAGAAATGGTAAAGGTGAGAGACGTGTTAATCCAAGAAAGATGAAAGAGAAAAGAAACTGCAAGAGAGCTGTCAAAAGAAGCAAACTGGTAAGCGGGAATTCATAATTGAACTGGAGGCGGATTCTACAGTGCTGGGAGACATGTACAGTTGTATAGTATACGTGCCCAGACACTCACCGATGAACGCCGCTGTTGCACATGACGATGTGTGTGGCTCCCAGACGAGAGCAGAGCTCAGAGGCCACAGTAAGCAGCCCCACTCCAGAAGCCCCGCAGGCAGTGTACTGACAGGCAGCAGTGCGGCGACAGCTGATAAAACTCTCCATCAGACGGTACAGCTCCTCCAGAGCATTAAGGGGACGCATCAACTGGGCAGAAACAGAAGGAGAGGGGTTAGTGCTGGATCCAAGGAGGGGGAAAAAACACTGCCTAGCTGTTTATGGGCAAAGCAGTGCATAAAAAGATCTGCAGATGATGAGGTGTTTTTGGTCTTTTGTCAGGTAGATTCACACTGTGCTAGTAATGCAGTGTTCACAGATTTACAATAGAAAAAAGCTGCCCACTAGGAAAACATGTTTATCTCAACTTAATAGTGGTTGCTGCAGGTAATGTTAGGTTTCATAGAGGTAGGATTTGGGAAATATTTGATGGATCTACTATATTCACACTATTGCAGTCAGTGCTGCGTGCTAAAATAATCAATAATCATATCAGTTAACTTTGCCATTCTGGATGTTCCAACATGTAATACGTGCAAGTATTTCCACATTGGCAGCAAGATCTAAACCAGTACTTCAGTTTTTCCATGATGTCATGAATGCAGCATGAGGTTGTTCTTACCTTATCTATGAGGGCAGCTTTGGGTGCAGAGCTAGGTGGCATGTTTGACTGATCCAGGTAGAAAGCCCTAGGGGAGAAACAACAGTTCACATATGGAGTGAATCTAACTGGATGTTTGCACTGCAGTGGGAGAGAAAACTGTGTCTGTTAAGTAGCAACATACTGCAGTAGACTGCATTTAACAACCGTCCAGATGTTTTTTTTTATTCAGAAGCTCCTTTGCTTAAAAAAAACATAATGTGGCATTGTTTTCCCTGTACCATTAGGTCATCAGGAGCACTGGCTGCCTTTCTGGGAAAAGTAGGCCACCTGCTCATTATGGAGCTTCACCATCTGACTATCAATCATGAAAGTAACTTGGGCACAGCTCAGCAGAAACACAGACTAAGCATCTCTTGTCCTGGGCATCACTCCAAATGCCATTGCCTCATTCATTCATGGACAGTACAGTCGAGTTTGTGTTATTTTCCTTTTTCGTCCACTGGAGGCAGCACTGTGTCCTTATGCAGCAACAGAGAATGTATGCCGCAATGAGTCCATCTGAGGTGGAGTGCTACTGGTGCAAACTCAGCAGTCTGTGACTCCATCAAATCTCAGTAATCCAGCGGTGTGCTAAAAATAGGTACACTACACTGCATTAAACCCCTTGTAATAAAATCACATACTCCATTACTTCTTGCCAGAAGCAATAATAAAGCACAACATATGGTCATCTGTTCAGCGCACACTCCTGAAATCGCAAATTGTCAGGGAAAAATTCAGTTTGTAGAGATGCTGCAAGGACTTTGAGGGAGGGAGATTGTTTACAAGAATCAGTGAAGCACGGCTCATTCATCTGCATTCACTCTGCTATTAAGTGATTAAAATCAGGCTAAGGAGGCATTCATTATGACTGTGGTATTTCTGCCTGACATAATATTAATGAAATTAATTAATCAGAGCAGAGTTACCACATCCCTGATTCATGATTTTATAGTGATTATGAACCAGTCAGAAATGAAAAGTCAGTGAGATCTCACACAAATGCACACACAAACATTAACTTTATAGTTTACCAAAGTCATACTGTAGGAAACATACCTGCACCGGCTACCGGTGCATATACAGTACATATGACCTTCATAGTAAACTTTCCTTCATCCATTTAGGTTAATGAGGCTATGTTTTATGCCTCCACCTGCATGTTTACACTAACTTTAGCTCATATAAATCTACTACAGAACACACATTTATTCTGTGATATGGATGAGTAATCTGTCCATTTTATATCTTCACTTGTTGAAGGTTTCCAAGTATTTAATCCCTATACGGCAAATTATCCTTTAACCTTGTGGCGTGCTGTACTAAATGACTATGAACAGAGTTTGCTAAGGGTTCAGATGGAGTTAACAGCCCATGTAATTGGTTCAAGATGGCCTTATCATTCAAAAGATGCTCACAAGTTAGACCGCACCTTAGCATGGAATACACACCTCTAAAGTTCCTCTCATAAAGAGCATAATGGCCAAAACTGCTGGGGTAACTGCAGCATTTTGTTGGGTTGACAGTTTAAAGCTCTAAATGTTTGATTTCCTCATTAAAGTTTCTACAGTAAACACCTGGCATCCACATTGTGTCTGTATGTGTGTACATACTTCTATGTCTGTGTGTGAGAGTGTGCTGTGGAAAAACAGGCAGTTGCAGTAAATGAAAGTTGGATCCAAGCGTTTCCTAACAAAACATAATTTGCTTAACAGGTCAAACAAAGAGAGAGACGAGATTCAGTGGTGCGATAAAACGCTACATAACACGAAAGGAAGTTTATTGGAAATCAAAACCTTGTCCTGAAATAGTTCCTATTCTGACTCTCACTTCAGATATGACCTGTTATCTGTCTCCTTCAACTGTGAGTCCACTCACCCTTGTCCCTTGCGCTTATCGGTCGGCTGCTCAGACTTTTATCTTAAAGGTCTATAATAGAATCTGTCTGAGAGAAGTTGACTTCTATATAACTGCTCGACTCTACTTCATCTGCACGCATTTGTTTATCGGTTTCAGGCTAAATAAAAGCACCATGTCTTGCCCTTGCACACACCCCTTTGCAGAAGCAAGGTCATAATACCCACTGATTATCTCATCCTCTTACTGTAAGAGTTGTTCTAAAAATACAAGCCACAGCTTGAGGAGCAGGGCTGACTCTCCTGGAGGTCTCTAATGACGAAATAAGTGATGTGTGGTTTCAAGAGAACCTGCATTACATCTGAGCTGATGATGTTTTGTCAGAGGTTTGGAAACCAAACACCTTACAAACATTTATTATGGATGGGAAATTACATTTTAAGCCCACACACTGTGTGCAAACACAACCGTGTGGCTAAGCACATATTACATACACCTTAGGTATAAGGTCTAAACCCACTGGGTGTCTATTATTTCTCAGGTTTAAGCCCCTGGACTCCATCTGCTCCAATTTAATGGCAGGACATCGAGGGCCCCCGCAAGTTATTGCACAAGCTTGTTATCATTTTTTCTCACCCGCTGGCATTCATTTAACATAAAAGTTAAAAAAATAACAGCTTCTATGGTTAATTGTCATGTTTTTTTTTCAGAGGAATTTTACACCAATCAAAAGTCCAACCCACCATCTGTCAACCAGTGTGTATCAAAACAGAAAACTGTGTTATTCTGTTTCTTCTGTTGAAAGCATTTCCCTTGTTTATATTTGGGTTTTCAGTAGAAATAAAAAATCTAGGTGCAACCTGCTTCTAGCCATTTTTGCAATAACTACATTTCACACACACACAGCCAATAGGTTTTTACAGGAGACTGTAATGGAGGATTTGGCTGCAGGCCAGAGATGACCTGCTCTGCGTGTAGCTGGTTTTATTTTATTGGGCCGGTGAGAATACTTAATTCTCTTTGTTTCTACTTCCTTCATGACAATAGGACACTCGAGGCCCTTTACAGCACTGGAGCATTAGCAGTCAGCGGCGGCGTCAAAGAAGAAGGATCTGAGGCACAGATGTTTTCAGAGAAGCAGTGTGGGAATGGGCACATTAGCATGACATCCTTCATTCAAAAATAACAAAAGAAAACTAAATGAACCCTGAAATACCTTGAGAAAACGTTTCAAAATGAGAATCTTCTTTTTTTCATAGCCGTTCACTCTTGAGGACACAAGTAAAGTGTCTACGATTTATGACATTATATGTAATCCTGCAGAGGTGCATGCTGGTCCATGTAAATCACTCACACTGCCATGATGAATGACACTCACTGTTATTAAATCCCCCACAAACCCCTGCAGTGTGTGGCAGAGCTGCCTGGGGGCTAATGAGGGCTTCCAGGAGCCCTCACATGCCACACGGTGATGTTTCTGCACTGACACCAGCGAGATACTGCGTGTGAACTGTGCTGGAGGTCATATTCTTACCCCACGCCTCCTTCCTATTTACACTTCCAGGCAAATATTTATGACCAGCTATATGTCAACCACAGTTTAATATGGAAGAATATGGCAGCAGGAAAAATATATTCTATGTAGGTAACAATGGCAAGCCTTTTTTGGGGGGTTTAATGCTAAAAACTAAAGACATAATAAAATAAAAATGCATTATTTCATGCATATGTTGAGTAAATTTAAATCGAGGCTCATTTGCAAAATTATTAGTGTCAGTCAAGACCAGAAAAAAAACAACAGCCCTTGACACAAAACAGCAGATTAATGTTAACGGGGTCTCAATGTCAGAGCCAGCTGAAGACATATTATCACTAAATCATTGTCACTGAAGACACACATCCAATTACTGCATATATTACAATGCAAAAATAGCAACTGGCTTAAAATAGTGAAAAGATTTACGACCCTGATGGTGCACGTAAGTAGATGCAAAGTATTCTTGGCTCTTTCCTTAACTTGCTGAAAGATGAGTCAAGGTCTTTTTTACAATATCAAGCATCACTAAGTGCAGAACTGTCGTCATTATGGCCGTTCAATTATAGAATCAAAGGGAAATGATAAATGGAACTGGGTCTCTGACGCTCAACCTTACTAGGCTTTATAGACAGGGGTTCAGTGCACATGAGCTTAAGCAGAATGAAGCCCCACCACCTTCCTCAGCGCTCTAGTGAATTGGGACTCCCAATGCCTGTGCAAAGGCTGTAGCATTTTCATCACTTCCCCAAACTGGAGGAACGCAGAGAGAAAGAAAGCTCTGTTTCTGTGCAGACAAAAAATATATGGCCAAACCGCCACTGCCTCCCTGCTGTAGCTGGCATAATATCCATAATCAGCTATGATTGCTCAAATAATAAGTATTTTTCATTCTAAAATGACTTCTCTGGTTACAGATGCAGTCAGCTGAGAATTCTCAATTTTAGCAAACTAGCTGCACTGCTACATTACAATACTAATAGATGTCAGATGGGAGATGTGGGAACTTGCTGCAGAAGCTATTGCTATATTAATCATTACTGCATAGCCTTGCCCCAGGGAGGAAGAGAAATACCATCAATTACACAAAGCAACTATGCTGTTTGAGCTACAGACTTGTGGCGTTGTTTTGATGTTGGTGACAGCAGTGGGATTCATCTTTGTGTGTTGAACACCTTTAAGTGATGTCACACTATCTATCGTCTCTTGTCGAGCATATATTGTGGAGGTGGAAAACAAACATGATTTACGCAAAGCTAGCTGTCAGGGAGACTCATATATAAGGCTGTAGTAACATGTTTGTGAGGCTACATGTGTATATCCATATATATATATATATATATATGAGTTAGCAGCCATTACCTGATCAGCTGGTAGCATTAATCATGTTGTTGTGCATGCAGCACTTTATCTTGCATGTTCTCACGCTAAACACTCGGTCACAAGAGGCTCCAGCCGCAGGGTAACAGAGATAAAAGAAGCAGTGAAGCCGCTCACTACTGTGTTGAAACTGACACTCTGACCTGCAATAAGCGTCCAGCATTTTTGCTTAATCAAGACAAACTGCACTGCAGTACTGTGATTACCAATTCCCTATAGCTGATGTTAGAGCAAACACTGCGAGCACAAATGACCCAGAAGCTGTGCTGTGTGGTGATGACTGATGACTATTTAACTAACAAAGCATGAAATACAAAAGTCTGTAGTAATACTTATATATAGCATTTGTTGGACAGTGCCATACATCCCAGTTTATTGCTTATCTTTCAGCCACCATGCCATCATTATACACCATTTGTCAGACTGTGTAGAATTTTAATATCCACATTAATCAGGCAGTTTTATCAAAGGGACGTGTACCATGAGATGTGGAAATTTCACAACTGCCTTCTGAAACAGTGCCAAACGTTTCCTTACTACTGCCAAATGCATTTCAATTAGGGAGAAAAGCTTAATGCTTACAGTGCAAGCTTTCTGTCTGAGCTGTGCCAAAAGATACTGATTTTAACATGCCTTCTAACACACGTAGTACATGCTGGACTTTTTCCTTTATTCTTTCACAATGCTGTATGCACCATTGCTCCTTAAAATCAATAGTGGGGGAGCATGCACGAGGAAAACACGATTCCCTCCTGAAACTTCTTGTCAATAAGAGCAAAATGAGATGAAACCACAAGCCCACAATAATCTCTCCCTTTGAATAAAACATTCGTTCTGGTTCTCCCATCTCCACTCTGCCCTCTTCGACTAACCCTCCCTTGCACACTCTCCTTCTCGACCCATCATCCTCATCCCTCTGCTGAAATCCTTTCCATCTTTCCAACCTGCTCTGGCGATCTATATTCCCCTTTCAATTTCCCCTCTCCCATTCTGACTGTGTCCTAAAGGAAAAGTCGCTTTCTGTTAAGAGCATTTTATTTCTTCCCCTTTTTAGATGTTGCTTCCCCCTACTAGAAAGGAGACAACTGTGTACATTTGCAAATCTATCTCTATTACTTTGTCTACTTGATGATGGTCAACAATGTCTTCCGGCTTTTTATGCTGAGAAACAACAAGGCTATGACTAAGGTAAATGTCAATCGCTACATGTCAGAGTTTCAAACCTCTTTTACCTAAATGCACGCGTCAGCTGAGATAGTTTATGAAAGCTTGAAGACATGGGTGTGTGTTTTGGCTCTATATACCGCTGACTCCTGTGGCAGCAGCCATGTGCTTGTGATTTGGCCCGTGAGTTTATGTTTTGCAGAAGACTTGAATGACTTCATCAGGAACTATGGGTTTGCTCAGATCATACTGTATCTTGGTGTGGGAAAAGAAAGCGTAAGCCAGAGATAGATAGTGGTATCATTTACTGCTCCGAAATTGGATAATGCCGACAATGCACGCTGGCAAAGGTGTCAGTGGAGGAGCAAGACAAAAACAGAAAGAGACAGAAAGCATGATTTCTTTTTGCTTTTGAACTTCTGAAACTTTTGAAAAAGCATGTTTCATTTTGACGCGGGTGCTGGGGTTCCACCACATAATGAGCAACCCTTAAGTTAATTGAATATAAATGATCCCACTACTAACATTTGCAAGCACAAAGGCTCATTTTCATCCTCATCACTATTATTTCTCCACAGGCAATGTTAATAGCTAGAAAATGTTATTTCTGCTTCCAAACAACAATATCTCTGGGCTCCCAAATGCATATGGGGGCCCAAGATGTAATGGGAGTGCGTTTAGGGGCTTGACGACATAAAAACGGTCAAGAATCTGGGCCCTGCAGTTCATTCAGTTCAGTATTGCGTGTACTGTTTCTGTCTGTCAGTCAGCCTCTGGCTTTGGCTCATAGTGTGGGTTTAACCCAACACTGCAGTGGCCGGGCTCCAAGGATAACGAGGTGCCTGAGGTTGGAAGGCTGCAATGGAGAGAGGAGTGACATCACAGGCTGGTCTGTGGTCAGCCGAAAGACACATGGCGAACGAAAACTACTGGTAATATTACACAGAGAGAGACACTGTATCTACCGACTGTGGAAAAACAGCTGGGAATACTTACTACAATTGATACAAGGAAATATTCTGGGTGGGAGCAAACAACATGTTTCTGTTGCAAGTATTCTGCTTAGGTAAGGTTTTGTTAGTGTTCTCTGTATCATTCCAAGTGCACATGAATGACTCAGCAGCAATGTTGAATTTAAAAATACTATTTAGAGAGTGGATAACCCTACAGCTGAAACCACCAGTCCGAGTCCATCAACAGAAAACAAAAAGATCAGCAATTATTCAAATTAAATCATAATTGATTTACTGTTTCAGTTATTTTTTAAGCAAACACACCAAAGATTCAGATCTTCAGTATATATATACATACACAGTAGAAGACCAGAGATTTGTCTGGAGAGCTCAGAGAGCTGATTAGATTTACAATTAAATGATCTGCAGTTTTGGGCTACAACAGTTAGGCTGATTGAAAAGGAGATTGGGTATTTGAAAAGAGAACAGTCTCTTTAACAGTTTCACTCCAGTTGGGGTTTTGAAGCCCATCACCTACCCACATCCCTACACATCACCCCTAACGCTCCCCACATCACCAGCCTCACTCGTTTGCCCACATCTGCTACATGTTACTGCTGCAGCCTCTGCTGTCAATTCAATTAGGCTCTTTCTGCTCAGGTCAAACTGTACAGAACATGTACAGTACACGTGCGTACATGCAATAACACAGGTTATTCTGAATCACATGGATGAATTCCAGTAAGGTTGTGCATTTACGGTTTGAATCGTGAGAGCTTATTAAGATAATTTCATGTTCAAAGGTGCTTCAGGCGCCCTAACTCATCTGTGCACATAATATATCTTTCCCTGTGTTTCTTAATTAGAATAGTGACATTTTAGAGACGGACCATGAAGTCCTAACTACAGTCTGCAAGCAAGGACTCAATAAAATGAAAGAGATACCACAAAATGCCAATACTTCACTATTAAAAGGTTGTGGAGTCCCAGAAGATCTAGCAGACAATATCACTACACAAAGAGATAGAGGGACTATTGGAAAGGCCTGATGCACAAACAAGATTAAATGGCCCAGCACAATTTAGTATCCACAACTGCGCTTTGGGAAATCTGACACTCACAGAAATTAATGTTCGAAATTCTTTTCACTCATCAAGCTAAACACTACGAACAAATTAAAAACTCTCCGCAGAAAGCAATCCCAGTAAATTAATGTTTTGTCGCGGAGGATCGGCACTGATGTGACACATGACTGCTCAAGCTGTAAATCATCCAACCCCCCAAAGCAGATTGTCCCTAAATAACAAGATTAAGTTTTGCTGTGAGCTCTGCTCTGCGTTTAATTATCCACACAATCAGCAGCAGATGTTTAGTAGAAGCCAACATGTTGACCAGTTGCCCTCCTAGGTATTCAATGAGCTTTCCAAGAGTAGCACTGATTCTCTCAAGATGGTATCAGCCTATATCGCTTATTCTTGATATTACAGTATTTGTAGTAAATTGGCAACTGAGCTGGCACCAAACTCCAATGTATAGATGGTAAGAAGGCTTCGATCTATGGTAACAGAGTGTCCAATTAGTAGACTTCAAAAGGATGAGTTGAAAGTGTGTGTCTATAAATCAGGCTCTGAGCTTGCATACAGAACACCAATATAGGACATTTTGCTAAAGCCACATTTTAATTCTTAATTACACTGTCTCCATTTTCTCAATATGAATTCTTAATGTATCTTGTGCATTCACAGGCACTCACATCCTTTTACACACAGCTGGTTTAAAATGTGATTTCTACTCTCTGAAATCACAAGGTAGCAACTAATGTGAAACTAAATTGACATTCAGGCAGCATGCTGTATATCTGCTATCTGACACTGACTCACACATTCAGGAGATATTAAATAAAGCCGAGCCATTATTTTCAACTCCCAGAAGTGTCTGTTTCTTCCTGTCTGTTTCCACCTCATTAAATTATCCACGCCTGGCCAATCACAGGGGGTCTCGGGTGTGCGGCAAACCAATGGTGTGTGAGGTAACGGAGTGCAGCAGCTGTACAGAAGCACTACATCAGCGCTGGTGACACGCTGGGTACTTTCATCCAATCACTGCTGCCCCTGCTGTGTGTGTTCGCAACCAATCATAAAACGTTCCCACTGTGTGTATCTCAGCCAATCACCTTGAGGCCCTGCTGGGCGTTGAGAGTCAAACCTGGCTGAATGGGAGGTCGTCTTGATTTATATTAGATCTAAAAAATTCCAGATTGCACAGGATATACAGCCTTAAAGTGTTATATGTGTGTATTATGTATTGTATAACATACCTCAATCTCTTGTAGTACTGTTTGACCTTATCCAATGAGGCAGCATTGATTTGGGCCTGGTATTCTTCCACTGACACATTGTCTCTGTAGTAGTAACCCTCCATACTCTCCAGCGCTACAGAGGGATCAAACCAAAGAGTGAAAGATAAAGCGATTAAGCCACTGTATGTATACATCTATCTGCCAGTGTTTACAATCATCTGAGCTCTACATTCTGTTCCCAAACCAGGCTCACTATACCTTGTGTGAAGAGCACAGGGTAGATTTTGATGCCTCCCCCGTTTCTCAGCCTGTGGGGCAGCTGGGAGAAGTAGAAACTCTCAAGGTAGAAGCAAACTTTCAAGGTCTGACGGGTGCCCTCCACCTGGTATGACATGGGCATGTCTGCAAGAAGAGAGGCGAAGAGACATATTATATAAGAGCACAATTTAAAGCTGAATCAGTTTCATAAAATGTAGCAGTAGCAATGATGAGCCCATAATGATGTTTTCAAAAAAGCCAAAAAAGTAAGTGAAAAGTTGCAGTGTACATACTGGCCACCAGTGGTTCCCCTTCAAATTGCTGGAAGTAGAATGTGACCTTCTCAAGGTCAATGAGGGCTACCTGTGTGTCCTCCAACATGGCCTGCTCATCAGTCTGAAGGGAGAAAGATAGCATACTAGTAAGAGCGTGGTGGTGGAGAAAGCTTTTAGATGTCATTTGAGTCAGCATCAGTTGCAGCTGAAGACTACAGGTCTGAAAATGAAAAAAAAATCTGTGTAGGGTGTGTAGAGTGAGGTTAGAAGTGAGGTTACCAGACCTCTGTAGCCCACTCATCCTCTCTGCTTGAGGCTAGCGGATCAAGGCTCGACAAGAAAGAAGAATTTGGGAAATAAGAAGGACAACATCTCTGGTTCTGCTGCATTGATTTAGATACTTCTTTTTATTCTGTCCATCTTGAGTCAGACAATGTCAGAGTAAGGCAATACTAAATCAGTGGAGTATTCCTTTAAAGGAAAAAATGTGAATAAATGACTGTAGAAATGTAAAAATGCAAATGCTTCCATGCAGGGCTCACTGAATAGTTTGATGATTATGAAAATACTGTGAATGTGAAGTCATTCTAAACCTTTTATTGTTCTTAAGAGGAATCTGACCAAAGCCGACCTGTTGGTACGCATTAAGAATAACTAATAACAAGCTGAGGGTCTTATGTAGGTTATACAGAGGCATCAGTATTAAGACAGTTAAGACAGTTTGATAACCAGTAAAGGTTTAAATATAAAAATATAATCAAGAGAGTACTTGTCAAATTAAAAGTACACATTGCGTATAATGGCGCTTTCTTACAGCTAATTACAGTCAAAAAACATGTTCTGGAGGTTCCCACAGTCAAGCAGTGGCTTAATGAGTTGAACAATACCTTGAGTAAGGTTCTTGTGAAGGAACACATTTGTACAGTTCAACAAGATTAAACTGTTACTGGTGATGAAAAGTACAAACATTTATCCTTCATCACCAACTTAGTTAAGTCATACTGTCTCTTCCACAAGTTTTTTCCTCCACAAGTTTCGTTTTTCCAGAGCTGGCTGTGGTTAGTTTGACAGTGCGTGTGTGTCTGTGTCAGCGTCCTTTATTGGGTTTTTTTTTCCTGTGTGATACACTGTATGTTCTTGTAAACAAATCACCAGTCACTAATTTTATGATACTGTATATCCTTTTTGTAATTAAACACATCTGAGACACTGAAAAGCCCCTTTTTGTTCTTTGCTTTTTTCTTTGCTCTTAAGAAAAGAAGTCACGGAAGAAATGTCACCATTTGTCCAACTCTGTGACGAGATGCTGGTCTGAGGAGCTCGCTTGTGGTTGCATAAATGACAGCAGTGTGCATGCCTACATCTTAGTCTGTTTTTATTGTTTGCTTTAGTTTGTTTGTGTTTGTTTATATCCTCGATTGTGTGTACGTGTTTCCTTCTCAAACGTGCACTCAGCATCCTAACACACAAACAAGTACATCTGCTTGCGGCCACAGCAATAGCGCCTCGAATATTTTGGATTGTGACACCCTGCACTCCTCTGTCATACCCCCCCCCTCCCTCTTCTCTTCTGTTCATCCACCACATGCGGAGGGATAACCACAGCAGTGGTGAAAGAGGATTATGGCCTTTTTCTAAAGACACATTTGAGATGGCCCAACATGTGACAGAAGGGTACCCACCGCCCTGCCAAGTGACGCCTGCTGTGTGTGGGCAAGTTTATTTCACAGGGTGTCACATAAACACCGACTCACACACACACACACACACACACATTCAGACTACACAAAAACCGAACCATAGAGACACACACACATCCACAGCATCCCCAGCTTGTCTCACGCTGCCTTTCATGTGGTGCCCTAAAAAGGAGCGTGCTGAGATTTCACTGGAATCACCTGCAGGTACTGAGACCCTGTTTTGTTCCACAGGGACACTTGAAAGGGAAATATCTTGAGAAAAAGACAGGAAAAAGACACAAAACTGCAGGAAAAAAGAGGGAAAAGCATCAATGATTTCTGGGGACCTGATGTAAGCCACCAAAATACACTTTTAAAGCACTTCCTGTGTTTCTAGTTTCCAGTGAACAAAGACAGAAATAGAAATTGAATCTAAATACCTCATCCCAATAAAAAAATGTTTTTCTATGTGGTTGATGATGCAAAATGCAGAAAATAAACACTGATGAAATAGCTGCTTTGGAGGACTATATTTCAGTCCTTTAGCTGCTTAAACTTGAGTTTCAGTTTCTCCAACTTGGTTAAAACTTTGAAATTATTAAAACATCTTGGAGGTAAAGGTGATCTCAGTGAGTGCTCAGCTCAGTTTGAGAAATTTGCTTTCATAATGAACTTCGGTCTTTTCAATGGACAGACTTAAATTCTTGTAGGAGAATAAAGTCAAAAGACTACTGCTAACAGCTTTCCAAGTTGTTTTTTTGAAAGTAAAATGAAAGATTAATTATTCACATGAATATACAAAACTCAGCATTATAGGTTATATGTACAGAGGGGCATTTGGGTGGAAAAATTTACTTGATTGATTGATTTGTTGTGTTTTGGATTTAATCATTTAATTTTAGATAGTTTAAAGTGCAGAGTTTGTGTGACAGTACACCAGAACAGCTTAATTTACTGTAGGTTAAATAATAGGTTGTAAAATCTCAGTCCTCTCAGTCACTACTCAGTGAATAACTGATATACAATAACAGGCATCAGTTGAAACAGCCTAAAGTTCACTTCACAAATGATCATAGTTGACAGTTCTGAAAAATTTTAATGAATCTTTAACGCAACATGTCTTCTTGTGTTTTTTGTGTTTTGGGGTTTTTAGGATATTTACACAATATCCACCGACAACAGTTCCAGCTCAAACAGCAACTATCAAGATGATGGTGAAACTGTCTGTTATTTGAGTAACACATGAGGAGGGAGGCTGGCTTTAGGATCTGGCTTTGCAAATCAGCAGCACACCTCAGCGATTCAGACCACATCCCCACACAGTCACTGTGGGCAGACTGTGTGTAAAGCTCAGCACATTTTAGTGTTTTTTTTTTTTTCAAGCACACACCATACAGCTTGGTAGTGGCATCTTGATTGATGATCTTAAAATCCAAATGCATGTATGGTAGATCCTATTGTATTTTCACAGCTATAGCTCACCATTACACTGATTCAGAGTGCAGAATAAAAAAGTTGAATGTTGGATAATTCATGTCCTGTAAGTTTTGTACCCCAGTGATCCATATTGTATGATATATGATTGTTGTGTGGTACACTGTATGTATTTCATATCAGAATGTAATTGCTACACATGGTGGAAAACAAGTAATAATAGACTAATACTCCATTACACACTATGTGTAATCCAAATATATGTATAGTTATATGAAAGTGGCAATTCTTTGCCCGTCCACAACTACAGGATTGGTCAGTTTACAATAAATGAATATGGTTATATGTGTATACAGACAGCAACCCCAGTTTTAGGATGTCTGTTAAAGCAGATTAACTGAGAGCTGGTCTGCTGCTCACCAGATTCGGTGAGAGGAGGGACTGGAAGTGGAAGAGCAGCCCAGCGCTGGCAATCTGCTCAAGCCAACGGCGGCTGGCTTCCTGGGCCTCCTGAAGGTCCTGGGGGTCTGAGCTGTCCTGGTCCGGCTCCCTGCCTACATTGTGGAACTGGGAGTGGACACAAATATTTAGCATATTATATAGTGAGATGACGTAAAGAATAAAACAAATAAAAAAAAACCACAATATTTACCTGGTTGAGGACAGCCAGTAGGTGCTCTGAGAAGGCACACACAGCTGCAACTAGAGACTGACAGAACACCATATCTCGACGCAACTGGATCTCTGAGTCTGGAGGGGTAACAAAGAGGACATGAGGCTGAGAGGAAATTCATGTTAAAAAATAGGTAAAGTAAAAACAGTACAAGAAAGTACGAGGAATAGTCAGAAAGAGATGAAAGGAGTACAAAACGGAAGGAGTGAAGATTAAAATCTGGTAAGGTAAAAGGTTAAAAGAAAAGGAGTGACAGAAATGAGTGGCATGAGTTTGTTATGGTAATTAAACTTTTTAGGTCAGACTCCATGCTATGGCAATTTTTAAGCTTTCAATAAGACGACAAAAAGACTTGGCTGCTTTTTTTTAAAGTCTGCTGGGTATTAAATATTGTATTAAAAAAAAAAGAAAAGAGAGCAAATGACAGGTGTGCCCGAGTGGAAAATAATTGGCTGCCATAATTTCCTGAGAAATAGGCCCCTTGAAAAAGTTCAGCAATCCACCAAGTTAAAAATGAGTTCATGAACCCCTCAGAAATGAATAATGTGTCATAAGGAATGACTGCAAACTCTGTGACACTATTAACCAATCCCACCACAACCTCAGAAAAAATCTACCATTTTCTACTTTTTCTTATTAATGTACAGTTCCTGGAGGTACGTAAAGGAACACAGCACCTTATCTTATCAGCATAGTTTCTCTTAAGGAGTTGGCACCTGAGTTTAGCAGTGCCCTTAGCCTAGTGCCATTGCAAGGGTTGATAAGAACTTTCATCCATAGTATCTATTAGTGCTGTGGAAGTCTTTGGGTGTATGTCATAAACTTTGCACTTTCTTAGCATTGTTTTTTCAAAAACAACCTGAACAGAAGATGAAAAACAAAATGCAAAATAAATACACAGAATAATGTAATGGAAGAGAATAGGTCACCAAGGGCAATGCACAAGTTCACACAAAATGAGGGTGGATTCACTGTATGTTAATGTTAATTTCCCATTTTTCAGTTAAAAAAACAAAACATGTCAAAGTCTGTGTCCTCATACAAACATGGAACTCTGACAGTAAGCTTTCTTCTTTTCTTTTCAACTTTATGTTTCATAAAATGTACTCATATGTGTATTTAGGATATTGATCGTCAGGCCATTATTTTAGTTTAGCTCAAACTATACTGTCATGTTTTTAAGTAATGTCAGACTTCTTAGTGCCTGTAAGAATAATATATAGTAGAGATTTTGTTAAAAAAATGTGTTGTAGATGTTTTACTCATTCGCTATTTAAGTGACTGTCCTTTCTTGTTTATAAAACTCTCTGATTCCGTGTGAGTTTCTGAGTGAGATGCTTCTTTCTTCACTGTTATTCGAATAGAGCTCACAGTCTGGTTCACCAGTGCAGGGTGCACTTTAAAGGGTATGGTTTTATTTATTTATTTTTTGTGCAAAATGCATTAAAATTTCAGTTGGTGCTCGATTCTGTATTACTGCAGGGGGAGAGTAAGACAAACCTGTATATTGTAGTAAGACCAACAGCAGCCGTGTCTTCACCTCTGAAAAAAGACAAACAAAAGCAATCCAATGAACAACCTTACACTCACTCCCAAAGAGCTTTTCTCCCCGACTGCAGAAGTATGACCTACAATATAAACTCAACCCCTTAAAGTCATAAATATGACGATGCTGTATAACTTGTCTGCTCCATCCCAGCTCCACAGCTGTTTATCTTTACATACGAAAAGAAATCATAAAAACCAGCCACAGGCAAAGATAATAACATAAATCCGTATTTGTTTATAGTCATATCAGAGCTGCGGGAAGCTTGGCAGGACGCTGTACTGCATGAAAAAGCCATCATGGGGAGAGGTAAAAAAAAAAAGTGGTGCACACAGGCCAAGATGCACATTAATATTAACTCTGCTTATTTGTACTCTCTCAGTTCTGACCGCCCGTTCACCTTTCCCAGGAGTGTCATGTGACTGCTCTTCCGTGCTGTTTGTATTTCAGTGTGTTTGGGGTGTGTCAGTATGTTCATGTGTGTTCAATCTGTGTGCCAACAAACACAAAGCCACACACTCCTCTTGCGAATAAATGAGGCTGAACTCCCTATGTAGATAAAAAAATCTCAGTGAGCAGCTCTTTGATTCTTTAACTTGCAAGTTTTCAGCTCCATGTCTGTAGCTCCACTTTATGAACCCCAGGAGGGTTTTAGATTTAAAGTTTAAAGAGAGCAGCACAGTTATCGGTTTGGGACTCCCTTTACCCACACCACTGTAACAGAGGCTATTATTGCATCTAACAAATATGATGAGGCGCATTGGAGAATTGGTCAATCTAATGTGCATTACCTCCCAAGCATGGCATGCTTTTTCATGATGAACAAAAGCCCCAAACGATGTAAGAACATTAATATGTTTGTGTTGTTTGCTTTTATGTGTTGTGTCTGTGTGTGTGTGTGTGTGTGTGTGTGTGTGTGTGTGTGTGTGTGTGTGTGTGTGTGTGTGTGTGTGTGTGTGTGTGTGTGTGTGTGTGTGTGTGTGTGTGTGTGTGTGTGTGTGTGTGTGTGTGTGTGTGTGTGTGTGTGTGTGTGTGTGTGTGTGTGTGTGGTTCAGGTACACACTGACCCTCTACGTATTTAGCAATGGTTTGCGTGAGGGTCTGAACGCTGCTGGGGAGGTTCCAGGGATCCTGCTTGACGTGGAGACGCAACTTTTTGGTGCAGTTCACCTTGGGCTCCATCTCCTGCTGAAACTCTGACAGAAACACACACACAGACACAAACACACACACACAATTAGCACAGGCCTAGTGTAGGTACATGATTGTATGTGTTTCAACAGTAAAGCACATTTCGCATGAGATTTATAAGTCAAACTGCCTTTGTCAGTGGGGGAAGAATCATAAACAGATTCCTTAATCATCTTCATGATTCTTTCTTTTCTCTCTCTTCTGCCGCTCTCTGTCTCCCTGACTCTCTGTTCAACTCTATTCACAGATGTTTATTGGCATCATAAAACCTCTGTTACTTTGCTAAAGCAGTTACAGCTCAGCAAACTCCTTAAAAGTACACTTAAATTATTTATGAGATTGATTATTTAATCAATAGAATATTTAAGCAAAATGGTTAATCAAAAAATATGCCAAAAAAAGATTACACCCAAACCATCTCTATTCTATTCTATCTTTCACTTTTCATCCTCTATTTCTTTCACATCTCAGTTACTCTTCATGTCACTCTCTTCAGATTGGTCTCATTCTCTTTCTCTCCATCTCTCTGAATGAAATGAAAAAATGAGACTGACCCAGAACCAAGCAATATTTCTCCTATTTTATTTGCGTATCCCACAGGCCACCAGTGTTAGACCGCCTACAATCTAATCTTCCTCGTCTTTGCAGTGGCAAAACATGAGTGTAAAGGTCTGTCAATCGGATGTAACCCCTCTCAAAACTAGACACAAAGACTTGTAATAAAGTTTACTTTGGAGTTGAAAGAAGAAAGAGGCTTCAAGGGGGTTTGGAGTGTGTGTTTGTGTGTGTGAGTCTGAGGGCGATGGAGAGAGTGAGAGATCAGATGCAGGAATGCTCCACTTGTTAGATAATCCTATTTGCTCTGTTATCAACCACACACATTACTGGAGTGGAGATGGATCAGCTATGATCAAGGCCTTCACGTCCCTCCTGAGGGCATTTATGCATACAAACACACACAAACACACACACACAAACACAAGCAGACCTATTTTTGAGTTCAACCATATCTGCGCCCACTTGACGACAGACTGAGATGAGAGGGGAGTCTGTGCGCCAAATGGGTCGGGGTGTTGGGAAGCTTTGCATATCAAAACATACAGGATAACTGGGTAATCTGCTCTTTATCTCATAGTACTCATCACAATCCATTAGAGTCACTTTCAAGGACATAAAATAAGCAAACTTTATATCAAAGCTTATAAAGCCTTACTTAGTACAATACAGACAAGGATGCAAAACATACAGTTATAATTTTTCCAGAGTCTGGGAACCATGCTTCCACCACAAGGGAAGAAAGAAAGCGATTGTTGCTTTTGAGCTCAGATTTCTTCTATCTAATCTTCAAAATGGGTTGAGTCATCTGAACAGAGTTTCACAGATCATGAAAGGGCACCGTAAGCTAGTTTATATTTGTAGTGGGAAATGATAAGGATGCATTTAGCTCCTTCCAGCAACATTTCCTACATTTTCCTGTGAGAGATAAAATGTAACAATAGACTAGTGTGGTTAAATACCAAGGCCAAGATGAGGTTAGGTGGCAAATAAACACATAGTTAAAATAAAACGATCAGATAGCATTCAAGCACAAGAGCTGCTGTAGGGTCACATTTTCCATTGACTAGTAAGTAGCACTACAATAACCATAAAGTGCAGATGAGTGTGCAACTAAGTGGTGCTGTTTCAACACTATGAGGTGCTTCAGAGTGAAGGGCAAGGGGATAGCTGAAGGGGAAAAGAAGTGAAAAAGAGAAGGGAGGAATGAAGGGAGGAGAATATGGATGGGAAACATTTTTTTTTTTAGGAGCTGGAATCCAACTACAATACTTCCCATGTCTCTTTAATCATATCTGCGCACACACACACACACACACACACACACACACACACACACACACACACACACACACACACACACACACACACACACACCCACACACACACACACACACACCTACACACACACGCATATTACACAACAGGAAATTGCAGCCCCTATGCGCAGGCGACTGCTGCAACATTTCCAGCGTGTGCTCTGAGCTGAGAGCTATTTTCTCTCCGTATTGGTGCTGGTTGGCCTCTGGAGTTTCTCCAATATTATCTTTCTTCTGTCAGGCCTGCTGTGCCGCCCAGCGAGGCCCAGGAAGCAGAGCTACAACACCAACCAAAATATTCCTTCATACTGCTACAGTAAAAAGTGAAATATTTTGCGAAGAAACTAAGACAGAAAGAATCTATATTTTTCCTGGTGTTTTACCTTGTAATCCTCTTCCGGGTGTGAAGCACTTGGTCTGCTCGAATGCCCGAGCCACCACTGCTCCTCTCAGCATGCTGGTGATTGAGTCCACCTGAAGAAAGCACAAGGGTCAAGTTGGTGCACTTAAATGGTACAGTTTCCCACTAAGCTGAGATCAAAAGTACATGGAGGGAAGCAAAAACTGCTGCCCAAACATAACTAACACCTGCTTCTCTAACTCTCTCTCTGTAACATACGCACACACTCTCACAATCCCACAGAGCCCCAGTGAATACAATTTGCTATGCAGTGTGTAAACAAAGCTGGGAAAACTGCTCTACAATAAAACAAATGACAGGAAGCAGCCAAAAAGTGCAGAGACAGCAAAGCATAGTTTTTACTGCCTTTCCACTGCCGATGGAGACATCCTCATAAAGTTTCTAGTAGATGGTGTATACAAGTGTGTGTGTATGTAGGTGTGTATCTGTGTGTGTGTGTGTGTGTGTTAATGAGTGTATGTGTGTAATCAGATATGGTCAACCCTTGCTTCAAAGGTTGTAGAGAGGTCATAGGTCAGCTTAAGGCTGTGACAGTTTTCCCTTCCTGAGCACTCTAAAAAACAAAAGTCAATTTCTGTTCTCCATACAAAAATGTCTAAATTATTATCTGGCCTTTGAAAACATTAAGTTGCACACAAAAAATTATTTGAGTTTTGTGTTTGAAAATAGCTGAATAATTATAATGTTGCACATTTGTTTAACTAGGCTCATACACCTTGACTGCGGGTAAAAGACCAATCAAATCACAGCCATTTGCAAAGTATCACACGGCACGATGAGAAAACACAATGACTGATCTTTCACCTTAACATGATTATAAAAAAAATGAATGTACTCCCTAGGAGGATCAATAACATTACAACAACAATAATAATCTGCGAGATGAACTGGTTTTAAGCAGTGTAAAGGAAAGAGAAAAGCTTTTAAAAATCGACAACAATCACTTCTGTACAGATGTTTAACTGACCCACCTGGCTAAACAGATGTTCCAGAAAGCTGTGAAGTTTCTTCTGCTTATCATGGGATAGCCACACACTGGAGGGCATCTCATCTCCTGCAGAGGTGTGGTTACAACTTTAGTCCACTAAAATACTGTATAAAATATGCAAGTTTACTGCCTGGTGGGAAATCCAGACTCCAAACTTATACATTTCAAAAGTTCTTAGCCTTAAGGAAAAAGAAAAAGAGCTAATATCTAACGTCACATGTAGCTGCATTGTGTGTGTCATATCCTAAGAGACAGAGGGAAAGGATATTTGACAGGATACACAGCTGTGTAAGATGTTAATGACAAATCCAGCTGAGATGTGTGGCCAAACGCCTGTCACATCCAATTAGATTCAACTTCAGGCTTTTTTGTTCTTGCCTTCTAAAAAGGTATAATGATGCAGTTAAGATTGTAATCATGACCCATCACTTAAGGGACTATTCTGAAACGTTGTGGTTGATTGGGGTTATGGATTACGACACTCAGATGGGAACATTGATTTCTTTCTTACTGTCACATGGTCACAGTGTACTTACTATGGCCATATATATGCTATTCGGTGCATTAGGTAAGTAAGTTATATTATTTCAATCTGCAAAATTAGTTTACTTATGTGTGTCACGTCCGATGTGTTGCATACCTGAGTCCATCTCATCGCTGTGAACGTAGGAGCTACAGTGGCTACTGCAGATACTGGTGAACGAGGCAATGGAGTTTCTGTTGCTATTACAGTCACTGAGAAGAAACAGGGAGATACATGTTAAGGAAAAAATATAAATTATTAGCTTATTCATCTATTTTTTCAACCGTTATGTCATTCTGGCCATCAGTTACCACAGCATATTGTATATTATGTTGTATTGTATGCAAGTATTGTATAGAAAATTTACTATATAAATGAAATCTCTAAGTATGCACCCACATTTCACTTATTATGATATTACTTTGGTTTTACCTGTATGAGTCTCGGTTGCTGATTGTGTCGTGTCCTGAGTCTTCCTGCTCGTCACCTGCCACGTTAAAACACACTTTCTTCCCGTTCCGCTCCCCCTTCTCCCCCTCACTCTCTGCTGATATGTAGCTCTCTGGGGTCCTCACCTCTGTTGCTGGAGGGTGGGTGATGGAGGATAAAAGGCTGGTGTAGTGAAGGAGAAAAATGATAGAAAGAAAGAGAGGAGGAGTCACTTACAAACAAGCTATGACATTCAACACTTGACACAGCAGGACAAAAACAGCTTCTTTGATCAGACTACCGCTACACAGGAAGCTCTTACATGTGTCCCGGCACAGTGTAACATATTGAACTGTACATACAGTATGTGCAACATGTGCGTGGGCTCCAACAGCTGAGCGAGCGGGCCAAACAAAACCCAAACCTGTTTGCGCTTGGCTTCCGCACAACAGCTTCAGATCGTCAGAGATCCACATCATATTAATAGGTTCAAACATGTAGCTGGGTACAGCTGTGTCAATATGCTGCAGCTCCACTGCAAAGACCTGCTCCCCTCTTACTGTTACCACTGGCCTGTATTGTATCAGACGACTATCAGAAGAGCAGGAAGAGGCCGGCCAGGATATTTTCACAGTTGCAGCAACACATGGTGGCATTTAAAGCCATATTCCAATAAATGCTAGGCTTGGACTTTTTTTGATCTCTCTCCCCACACGCACACCCTCTGACACACTATGTCTGTTTACATTTCAGCCTTATTTTAATTTGTGTCCGCTTACATTTTCCATTGTGTCATAACATCGGCCTTGAGGACATTTTAAAGTTGAGGCAGTGGGGAGGGGCTGGTCGAGGCCACTCAGCGCTACGTGAAGTAAACAACCTGTCTCCCTCATGCTACCCAAATGCATCTCAGATTTTTATGCCTCTTTATGCTTTTAAACACCTCTCTCCCCCTCACACTATTCCTCTCTCTCCATTGACCCCCTTTCTTCCCATTCACAGGCTGACTAGGCCACAGAGATGCCCTCATTATGGTCCACTCCAGGAGCCACCACAATGCCCCTCCAAAGCAGAGTGGCATTCCATCACCATGGAGAAGCTCTCCAGGCTCTGTGATTGGCTATTGGTTAATAAAGAAGTGAGCGCAGTTTGGGGCCTTTGGGGCGCAAACTATCGGAGGGAGAGAGGGAGAATAACAATGACTGGATCAGAGATTGGGCTTCAACAGAAAAAGGGGAAAAAACTGATGAGAATAGGCCAAAGTACACCACTGCTTATCGCAGAAAGATCTCTTAATCTCTCACAGGAAGCTCTTTAACCCACTTCGACACATTAAACCATTAGACATCAATTGCCTTCACTGCAGCCATGAGTGCATCTGCATCACAAAGCTCCACATCAGGCAGGCAATTTGCATGCTGTAATCTATACTGAGGTAATAAGTCAGAGGACCCCTATAGCTGTATAAACCGCTGCCAGTCAGTTTGCTATTAATGATGTGCACAGAATAAGGAATATATGTGAGAATGGAGGAGGAGAGTGGGGAGGGTAGATATTCGATCAAGGAAGGGAGGAGGTCCTGATATACAGCACGCCATGGGGCACATCCACAGGCAGCTGTGACCCCTCGTTTGTGGCCCTGAGAGAAAGGTTCACAGGTTGCTGCCTCAAAATGGATTCCTCTAGAATCAGCCAAGATATTATGTAATCATTATGTATCATTCTATGTTCAGTTGTTTTCTTTTCCTGAATTACTTGTGGACATTTCTAATCTCTGATGAATGTACCATAGACTTCCTCTCTTGACTTCGGGTTGGGAACAGGGGAAGAGGGGGGGTTGACACAACGCACAAAACAACCGTCATAAATATGGCCACTTCAGTTCATTATTACGTCATTATAAAGTGTTGCTGTCAAAGTAAGTCACACGCAGGACAGAAAAAGAAAGAGCCGCAGAGAGTGAAGAATGTCTGTGTCTATTTGTGCAGATGGGTGTATAGAAAGCAAGACATAGAGGAAATGAAACAGGACAAAGAGACACTGAGAGACTTTGACAAAAACCTGCACAGCTAAGAGAGAAACGGTAGGGTGTATGAACAAACAAGCAGTAGTGACCCTTAGCCGGTCAACAAACAGGTTAATATGCAAACTAATTTAATAAAGAGCTCAGGAGGGTTGAACACACCCACAGAGGTCAGAGCAATGCACCCAGACAGCAACTACAACCCATATTAGTTCAACTGCTGGGAAACACTCATGCCCACCCACACAACTCACTCTTAACAATCTCCTGAAGTGTGCATGTGTGTGTACGTCTGCATGTTTAAACAGATAGCGGATGGTAAAGGTCATTATCCCCTCGCTGGCCGTGTCTCGGACCATTTGAATGTGCGTGGACACGACTACGCTAATTGGCACTGACAGGAGCATGGCAAAATTTGTCCAGACGCAGTCATTAAGAGCCCTGCTGTGGACTCGACTCATTATTACCACGGTTAGGTGACAGCTTCGCTTCATCTACTGACTTTTAATGTCATTCTCCAAATGTTGCTGTCTTCGCTGAGGAGACTTCTAATGACTAAATCAATCAAATGATAATATAAAGATTCACAACACATACATCTATTGTAATCAGTCAGCTGCACACCAATAATTACTGCAAGGGAAATCTGGAAGAGTAAGGCTTATTCAGAAAGAGTTACTATGGTCATTTAAGAGGTTTGACACATAAGCAAGTGTGTGTATGTGTGCTGGTGCATTTCTTTGTGCTGTGCATGCATATATCAGTGGCCCATTGTTGCTGAATGGCATTTCCAGAGGGCACCTGGCCTAATGACACACCCTCTACTTCATTGAGATTGTATTTCCTGTTTGGGGGTGGGGGATGTCGGGCTGGAGCAGTGTTTCCCCTTTCCTTTCCGTAGCCTCGTGCGCCTCCAAACAATGAACCCAGCGACCACACTGAACACAGAGCAGCCAGCCAGGAAACACTGATCTAACACACAAATACCATATCGGGTTTAAAATCCTGAGCATAAATGAAGCATGAGCATACCTTTGCAGACATATGGCAGAGAAAATCCACCAAAATGACTCTTGAAATCTGTTTTTCTTTTCTCAATCACACCGCATACACACACACCAACACACACAGGTGCTAGAGTAATGACCAAAATGTATGCCCGCCCAGTGCTAGATGCAGCAGATTGAGCAAGAAAGCTGCTGAATTTACAGCCTGTTATATGAGGCAATCTGGTTTCAAAGAACATTTCCAATCAAATCAAATCAAATAGAATCAGAGGGAGGGTATTTCTTTGCATCATAAACAAAAAGTCATTATAATTGTTTAAAAAAATATCAATTTCGCCCTTTGTTTTGCAATTTGTGGGCAAAATGTTAGAATAGATTAATCTCAAACTCGAGCCCATTTAAGGAAACACAATACTGTGTCTCACATGGGAATTTGCAAGGGGCTGTGTAAATGAGAAACAACTAAAAAAACATGTGTTACTTGTGTGGGTTTGTTCACACATTTTTACCATTTAAATCTCTACATTCACATGACTGCCCAAGTACAGATGTATATACTGTGATATGAACATATAGCCACTCACTCATGGATATGGGCACCGTGCGTCTCCATCTCCTTGACAACCGTGGTAAGTTTGTAGAGAAGTTTCTGGTAAGCATCCAGGGTGAGCAGGTCTTCCTCTCTGAGCAGGAAGCGAAGGCCGTGGCCCTCTGTTCTGCCCAGGCTATGACCCGATGGTGCGGCCATAGTAGTGATAGTATGCTGGACATTAACCATGGGGTTCAGCTTACCTGAGGAAATACAAAAATGCCAGTTAAACATCTGAAATTTCACATCAGATTCAGGTGAATATGCCTCATTATTCCACTGTACAGGTGTTTTACTCACCCTGCTCAGCACTACTGCGTCCTCCCTTCTCCAGCGTGTTCTTCCTGTTGTCCAGCTGCACACCAAAGGCACTACCCAGGGAGGTGGTGGTCTTCGGATAGGACACCTCCATCACATTGATATGACAGTTTGTAGGGCAGAAGTCGCTGCTATGGAGTGGGGACACCTTAGCCTTGGCCTGCTTAAAGGTTGGCCATGCTCTGTTCTTCAGTACCCGAGCAAACTTTAAAGAGAGAGATAAAATATATGATAATTTGTTTCGAAATATGAGCAGAGACCTTGAACTATAATAGCACTTACTGCAGAGAATACCATTCTATGATACTACTGGCTGGTAGGTTTATAATCAATAGTAATCAAAAGTAGGGAATAAGTATTGAAATGAATGAAATTGTAGCTGGCAGGCCTCAAAAGTCTGTGTACCTGACTGGCACAAGAATAAAAGGCTCTATGTGAAAATCACTAGAAAATATATGTCAACTAAACATGCTGTTTTGTTTTACATATATGACAGCGAGCGGCACTAGAACACAAATTACTGCACATTTTCTACATTTTTCTTTTTTTTTTGTGGCAGACTCAAATCCAAGAACAAGACGGATGCGTAACATCCTCATTGCTCACATATGTGAAGAACTCCAGACCCCAACATGACCGTTCATCATTTATATTGATGTGAACTGAATTAAACGGATGTATAGCAGCTCATATCATCATGTGGTAAAATATATGATGAAAGTAGGTTTTGCTGTTCATGATTTGATTTGTAACTTCAACAAACCTCCAGAATGTGAGTTGTGAGATGTTTTGAATTTGTTGCAGAGGGACTGTGGTTTCATTTTTATAACAGTGACATCAAACACACTTACACTGACGCTGACAAAATAAAATAGAAATTCTTTCAGATAATAGATGGATCCTGTGTACACTAGTGTAGTGTAGTGTGTAGTGATCCTGTGTACACTAGTGTCCTCCTTTGGGAATTAATGCTATGGAAACTTCTATAGGACATCTAAGTCCACCCAACCTCGCTGTGCAAGGAAACTTCTCTAACATGCTACGAGATAGCATCTCCATGTAAAACAAAACACACAGGGAGCCTGAAGGACTGCTTGGATCCAATAGAGCTGATACAGAATATCACAAACACATTTTTATTTGCAACATTTGGTTGCACTTTGCCTGAACCCTCCATCACAGGGCCTGCATCCTGTCTCGGATGTTATACAGCAGATGCTATAAGCCTTTGGATCAGTTTTTAGCAACTTAGGCTGTCAAGCAACACAAGCATAATATAATGTATATGTTAACTAAAGAACATAAACCAAACATGTCTCCTCAGTTATCTCAGATAGCTGGAGAATGAAGCTGCTGCTAGGAGCGAGATGATACGGTCCAGATGGACCACGAGCTGACCTTCTCCCGAGAGCAAAGAGTCTTACCACATCTCTTGTCTGTCTCTAGAGGTTTGTGGACTCTTATTTCCAGGCCTCAGGCTAACATCCCTCCTTATATCACTCTTTGTTCTATCTTTTTATGTCAGTTCCTCCCTCTTTCATCCTTCTTTCTCTCACTTCTTCCACTTTCTCGCTCCCCCCTCTTTTCTCTCTAGGGGTCTGAGAAGGAATGCTCCAGTGCAGGCGGGGATCTTACACAACAAAAGTCCTGGCTGTGGCTGTGCAGGGCTATTTATAAGTGACTGGTAATTAATCCAAGGCCCACTCTAATGTTGAGTCAGATCTTTTCCTTTTTCCCTCTCACGCACATTTGCACGCATTGGGAAGTTTGGCCTATAGACACATGCTTACAGATGTGAATGAAAAGTGATGAAAATACTTTGGCTCTGTCAACATCCAGCTGTAACCTAATTACAAACAAAGCGCCATATAATACTACATATTGCACACATATTCACAAAGTCAGTGACAAGTTTGCAAGTCAATGACTGACTTGTTGGCTAAATATTTATTTTTCACTCTCAGGTCAATAAGAACCGATTACATTTTAGCACAACAGCCTTCAAACGCTGACACTTGAGTTCAACTTGTTTGCAGTGTGTCATTGATTTGATGCACTCTGACATGTTGATGTCAGCGCAGTGAGAAAACAAGCATCCATCAAGGATACTATGTCTTTTTAGTATATTTTCGGTATGTTTTCCCCTCTTAGCTCCTGCAATGCAACTACATTGAATTGGTTCAGCAGGATTTTCACTCTTTCTATTAGGACACGAACCACAGTGTGGAACCACAGTGAAACTATGTAAAAGTAGTATTTCTACACTGGCTGCATCCTGTTTCTATTACTGTCAGTCTACAGAGAATTGCAGAAGACCATTTTTATGGTTCGAAGCTGTGTAAAAATATATATATGCAGGTTAAGGTGGAGAGACACTGATGACAGGCCTCATCGTTTGTCATCAGAGCCATGCAGGATAGTTACCTTTCTGTAGTTGGTGATACGTCGGTTGATGTGCTCCACCCTCTCACCACACATGGCACTGAAGCGTACCTGCAGCTCCTCTGGGATCACATCACAGCTAAAACTCAACCTGCCACACATCTGCACCAGCATGTCATCATTACGCGCCAGTGCCTCCAGGATCTGGTCAGAGAAAGGGCAAACAAAGGCAGCGATGATTAACTGATAGGCAAATGCTTCTAAAATCCCTTCTGGAACAAATAATAGGATGTAAATTAATGACGAAGCTCTTTCTCATCGGAAAACAAAATAAAATTGAGCTGGAGGGCTGATTCCTCGACAGAATTTCATGAGCGTTAAACTCGAATATCAAAAATGTGCATGTGCTATTCATAAATCCTTGGAGATAAACCCAGATTGTGATGCATATGCTGCATGTATGTAGACTCTGACTGATCAAAGATTAGATGTGAGAAGGAAGAGAGACACAAATCTCTGAGCCTTCTTAATGAGATAACGAATGGAGGAGAGAGAAAAGCAAGGGAGGAAATGTAATAGCAGACTGAAGCACAAGAAAACCCACGCGCCTCGACAGCGTTAGCAATATTAAAATTCTTACTTTAACTTTTGGACGAATGGGAAATGGGAAAGTTATAATCGGAGGGGATATGGCAAGTTTTATTTGTGTACATGTCACTGGCTTTCACTTAAAGATGGGGCTTTTAAAGACTTAAAACTACTTTGAAACACAAGGGCTGTAAATCTAGATCAGTTTAAGACAGGAACCCAACTTGTGATCTCTGCTAATTTACCATGAACAAGAAAGATGTTGTTCATCATGAAATTTGGCCGCAAACTGCTATTTATTTCAAACACCAGCATGTGTGCATCTATGTCTGAGTGAATCTTCTCTCCTCTGTGTGTCTTAAATCAATAATGATCATTCTGTGAACATCACCACTGGGATGCAAAAAGCATGCACTTAACACAGCTGGGAACTAACATGACTGAAATAAAGCTGTCAGTTTTAACCAGCGTCAAGACACTCAATCTACAGCAGGAGAGATGTTGGCTCTATTCCTCTGTAGTAAGGTATTTGAATGCAAAAAAATATAAAATTATTATATTGAGGAATTTTTGAGCACCATTTTTAGAAAAACTGCCATGATGACTTTCTTTTTAATTGTCAGTTAGAATCTGATTGATTGCAAATTCTGCTGAGATTTCACTTTCATCTAAACAGCAAACATATATAAAGAAAATGATGATGATGACTTGTCATAATCAGTCAAGTTCGTCTACTGCTATTCTGTAGTCTGGTAAGACAGAGGCATTTTTATTGTGGTGTTTATGTCTTTATTGTTCTCCCTCATTAGGCAAGGCTCAGCTGTGAGGTGATGAACACCAACAGCACTATTCATAACCTAAAAGCTAATAAAACTTTCTCCCTCTGTCTCTTTTTCTTTCTCTCTCTGCTATCCACAGACGGTAAGCAAAATGTCAGAGACTAAACAACAACATGATTAAAAAATTCTCATAAAAATAATTGCCATTAGTTCAATAGAATATTTCAGGAAGGCTGGCCGGATTAGGCTCTGTTCCTCCCACTTTCTGTGAATTGTGTATGTACATAGCAAGCAAACGCAACATGTACTCTTTGGCTGGAATACAAGTGGTTCATGTGATCAAACACAAATATAGAGAGAAATATGTAATAACATAGAGAGGAAAGCATAATATCAACTCAAGTAATAAAAGGTATTCAACTAGCCTTTTACACAGGGCCCAAGCATCAAATTTAGGCAGAAGTGCAAATCTTCTGTGCTTTAACATTGAACAAATGGAGTCTGGGGCCTAGTTGGTAATCTAGCCTTGTGGCTGGACCAAACAAACCAAATGTATGGAATTACCAGCATAACTGTTTTAAAGAAATAAATAGTCTGAATCCCATATAATTAAACCAACATCCAACCAGATGATCAACCAATCAGCCTAAAGACTATCATTAATCCTGACATACAAAGGAATCCAGCATGTGAAAGGAAGATGTATTGTTATAAAGATAAAAGTGAAATTATATCATTATTTAGATATTAGGTCATATTGTTTAGTCCTATATTCATCCCATTTAAATTTTAGGCTACCTGAACAGACAGAATACCTTAGCAGTGAGGCTGAAGAATCCCTTGGGTTCCACCATCTTTTCCAGCACGTGACACTTGATGCCAGCGGTGCTGTCATACTCATACATCACTCCGTACTCCAGGTGGACGTTGTCAACTGTCAGACTTACATGGTCCTTCTTCCCATCAATGATGGCTATAGTGTTGAACTTGTCCATCACCTCTGAGATTGTAGAAATACAGAAGAACAAAGAGACAGTGGTGAAACGGATCTCTGGAAACTTGCACGCAAACATGGCAGCACACATGCACAAATCACCATAAATGTTCTGATCATGGTCTGTGAAAGAATCCTGATTTCCACCACAAAAAGTGTTTTCATCATCACAAGCTCTGCACTGTAGGAGGCCTCAGACCACCAAATCTGCAGTTAATTTCAGAGGAAGACCCTCTGCACATGGCTTCCCATCACCCCAAAATGATGAGCAATTCCAAGAGCCTTAAGTTAACCGGCCCTATGCTAAGGCAATGACTTAATATGACAATAAATCCTGCTTTGGCGCTGTTTGCTATGAAGGGAATAGCTTTCCTGTTTTACTTTCTCATTGGGATCCATAAATTGTAGAGGGAGAATTAACACTTGATGAGCCATAGGAGGCGGCTGTTCTCAGACTAACACACTCCAGATGAGCCTGTTTGGAGCTGCGTCTTACTTGTTAACTGGAGAATATGGCGGGCTTGTGTTCCTGCGAACAAGCCTGCGTTACATCCACAGACACCTTGAGCGGAATTTCTTTTCCCAGAGGAGTAATTCCCGTGTAGTTTCTTGTGAATGTGTGCATGTGCTTGTGTGTGTGGTCACCTTCTACTTTACACTCAAAGCCGTCTCCATTCTCCTCGGGGGTTGGTTTCTGGTTAGTTTTCTGGCTGTCCTCCTGGGCGCTCTCACTGTTGTTGTACACCCACTTAATAGTGTCTTGCTGCAAAGGATTACAATAAAATAATTCATTTAGAAGTTTTATGAGAACGGTTGCAACAGGATGTTGTGAGATGAGTGAGTGTTAGATTTTTCTATTTATACTTTGAACTTGTATTGAACTGTAAAATGTGTTATCACTTAGAATTAAGTTCACTGGATCCATGACTGTCACATAACTGTCAACACAAATCAGTCTGTTGTAGCACCACTCTCATACCTTAACAGGTGGCATTTCTATACTAAAATGATGGAAAATGAGAAAAAATAAAACTCTGAACACACAGAACTCTGGCATGTGTGTGTGTACACAAGTTGAGGTTTGGGTTTGATGCAGCATGTTTAGCTGATTCTGCCCAGATATGGTGTGCAGTGTCACAGTTGGGTTGGCAAAGCATGCAGTGAAAAGCCTTCACAAACATATGGGAATATGGTGCTTGGTGAGACCGCAAAAGCAAACCCATGCCAATCTCATCAACTCACTCTAGCGTGCCACACAGCCCTGTGTGTGTGTGTGTGTGTGTGTGTTTGTGTGTGTCCGTGTATCTGTCTGTGTTTGTTCAGTCCTCTCCACACCCAAGCCCACAGTGGGTTTTCTGCCAAGCCTACATGCTGTGCCTGCCTACTGGTCTGTGGTCTTCTAGTGTACAACCACACAGAGAAAGAGACAGAGAAAGAGAGAGGGCGGTTCCTCTGTGTCCATACTTGATGTAAACCAGATCTCCAGTAGTGCTGGAACCCTGAAGTGCCTCATTAAGCCTGAAGTCCCAACGGGGCTCAATTATAGTGACACATTACACTAAATCACACCATACACACACCCTTGAGTTTCTAATTTCACACGATTTTCCCACCTTCAACAGGTGGACTGAGCTTACTCGCTCTCCCTACACTCATCTGCTGTCAACCACTCTCCCAGGGAAAAAAAACCTGGTTGGCATATCCTCCATGTTTTTCTCCATCTTTCTCCTCCCTCCCTCATGTCACCCACACTGAGCCCCAGCCACCCCCAGATCCTTTCCCACCTCTTTCTGCAGCCTGCCAGTCTCCCACAGCAGGCCCACCACTGTGAGCCAGAGGTCAGCGCTGGAGAAGCCAAAACTACTATTATTTCTGAGTAATGACCCAAGAGAAGGAAAGAGGGAGTCAGACAGAGTGAGAGATATGAAGGTAAACGGGAGCTAGGAGGTCTGTCTGCTATGTTTAAACTAGTCTTTGTTTGCCATTTTTTTGTTCTTTTCTTGCCTTTTGCTCTTTTATGATCTCCCACATTTGTCCTTCCAGTTTTGTTGCACAACTATCAAGATCAATCAACATACAATTCAAATTATCTCAACTTACTACCAGTGTAGGTCATGGGAAATTAAAGTGTGACCTCCAAATCAAACATAATTGCAGAAAAGAATTCCTATTTTCTCAGGAGACTATATCTTCATAGTGCTCACACAGAACATTTGACATAACTCTTTCTCCCTGAAGTAAAACTTTCTGAAAACTGCAGTGTCTACTTTCCCATGCAGTTTGTTCCCTTTTTTCTTTCCCTTCTTCTCCTCCAGTCTCACCTGGGTGGGCCGTCGGTACTTCCTGCAAGCAGTGACATGAGCGATGACGCTGGCATGGCTCTCTTTGCTCACATTGATGCCGTTCACCTTGATGATGCACTGGCCCGGGTGGAGGCCGGCGATGGCTGCCACCGTGCCTGGCGTGAGACAGAGACAAGCAAAGAGAACAAGGAGATGCGTCAAGGGCAATAATAACTGCACATCATCATGCAGGTGAAAGCGGAATCAGGATGAACCAAACACCGGCACATCCCAAAAAAACAACTGTCACATCTTCCACATCCTGTACAAAAAATTGGATTGAACTACATTCCTTTTCGTCTTTGTATTTGCAATTTCAGTTTCCTGTTTTGGCAGCTCAAGAGGAGTGTGAGAGAGCGTGGAGAGGAGGGAAGTTGTTTATCTGGGGTAGACGAGGGCCTCTCTGAGGGATGTGATTCAGTCCATAAGAGAACTTCAAGGTTTACAGCTATCAGAAGGAAGTGCATGGCAGACTAAATATTCCTCCCATTTGTTTTCATAGCTCCTTAAACACACACCATGCATACCTCACATCGCAATATACACAATCTGCATTCCTCTCACCAAGTATTGTAAGAATGGAATTATTACGCTGTAGTTTCTCTACTATCCTAAAAAAAAGTATAGCAACAGACAGGTCCCCTGAACTTAATAATAGAAGAGAAAAACAGGCTACAGTCCAAAACAACAACAGGGCCGATACCATACAGACAAGTCTGGTACAAGATACAGTGCACACACATTCACATTACTGGGGTTGCCTCTCCTCGTGTGTGTACGTTTATCTATTTTTGCTTTATAACGCAATAGTCTCACCCTCTCTCAGGTAGGTTTCTCTTAGGAAAAGACCTTCAGTAAACAGGTGTTCAATATTTACAACAAAAACAACATGTTTTTTGGGAATATGTACAAAAATATGGGAAAGTTAAAGCCTCAAACACAGCAAATGATTTGTTGCACAGAACCGTCTGCAAAGTCGCCATAGGAAAAGAGCAGGCTCTTTGAAAAAATACATGGCAGGTGATTGGATGAACCATCTGTCTATCACGGGAAAACTTCAACCAACATATAATATGTAATAACATATAAGCATCTTTTACATCAAGAAAAGCTTTCAGTGCTGTTCTTTGCTATCCAGTTCCAACATAACTGATGCTAGCAGCATCTACGCTAGTATAAGTGGTGGACCAACCAACTGGCTATAGTCTGGCTAAAACTGGTATAACAAACTGCATCAAGAAAAAGACACATTGATTGCAAAGTGATCTTGACAAACTGTAAAAACATCACTGGATTGATAGCTTAGCATAATCACCAATGATAGTGCCAATATAATATGAGAATACAATGAATTGCCACCTAAAATTAATTTAATGATAAACCTATGTGTTTAACTTGTTGCCTCACCACTTCCTGTCTCTCAGTTTCTCTGTCTCTAATTGGTACTACCTGCTCCTTTTGACCTCAGACACCAGGGCACAGCAGCTGTTATGACAATCCATGGGATTAGACACCTCCTACATCATCAGCTTTGTCCCGGGGGATCGGAGCATCTACTTAAACACACTGCAGGTTCCCAGGCAACCAAGTCATCAGGCCAACACATGCACACACACACAAGCACAGTCACACACACCCCAGCACATTTCTACCCTGCTATCCCACTTAGATTGCTTAAGGAAAAAAAACAAGATTCAATTCCCTTGAGAACAGCCAGACAAGGCCATGGATTGTTTTTGGATTGGATCCAATCTTGTGCCAGCCCTGACAGAAGTGCTACTAAACATGCTGTGTTTGAAGAAAAAGAGGGATGAAAAAATGCTGAATGCTTCTCCATTACACGGAGGAACTGCACCACTAAGAAAAATGTGAATAGGTACACAGGAATTATTGTGATGTGGAAAATGACTGATAACCAGTTATTTCACAGTTTTGGCAACACCATTAACCAACCAACTGAACCACATGGAGATCATGAGGGGGGGGGGAAATTGGTCTCTTGTGTCCAAATCACGCACACCCCTAAAGCCTGGTGTGGCAGCTGCTTGCCAGCTGTGCCACGATAACAGAAAAGTGATGGGAGGGCATTTTCTGATGAGGCCAGACAGCTCAAGTGGCAGAGGCGGCGATCTCTTACCTCTCCCAACAGCATGGACGACAGAAGGGCCGAAGCCACGAATCTGGAAACCCAACCCATCAGCTGAGTCGGGGATCTTTACCGTCCTGGAGACAAGGGGAGGGAAAATAGGCAAGGGATAAAACGTGACTTTGACATTCTCTCTTTGATGGCACCCTTACACATGTGCACACATACATGCATGTGCTTATGACTTACTCTCTTGGTTTGGTGCTAACCAGCACCCTGAGGGGTCCCTTGCTGTTGAAACACTGCCTGAGGAGAACTTCCACTTCAGAGAAAGGCCTGAGGAACACTAGGTCTCCATTTATGGCAAACAACTTCTTCCCCACCTCCAGGCCAGCCATCTTACAATAGAATAAAGAAAAGAATAGATGATAGAAAATACTGAGTCAGGCGTCAGGTTTTAATGGGATGCAGAACCACAAGGAAATATAATTTTTAGCTTCAAGTTAACTTTTTTGGTATGAAAACTCCCAAATTCCCAAAGGATTTCTATATATCAGAAAGAAAAGCATACACATGCCCAGTCATAGGAGACAATATGCGATAACTTTTCTATGAGTATACATCTGGATCCTGTTGTGGATTTCATTGTACTAGACTGAATATTTAAAAGCCAACACACACAACGCCAGACTCTATGCAATCCAGACCTTGCAGGCGCATTGAGCACTACTTCAGGGCTGGAGGGAATTATGGGTCGTACGCTCAGATTGATCACATTTGCCTTCAGACTTCTCTGTCCCATTTTCATCTAGCAGATCAAAGCTGAACACCAAAGGAGACCTCAAAAATATGGCGCCCTTTAATGCGCTCTATTTCTGCACGACAACGCTTCTAATGTTAGCATCAGTGTCCATCACCATAAAGCAGGTTTAGTTTAGGCGCAAACAGTTAGAGATTTATATTTTTTATGACTGATGATCGAACCACATTTTAACAACATAAGGCTTCTGCTGACTTGCACTCATCTGCTGAAATCACAGCTTTGCAGAAAAACTTCTGGAAAAACAGAATCAAATACAGCAGAATGATGTTCATTAGCAATGGGGATACACTGAATGAACAGTCTTAACACCATAAAACCAAAAACACCCTTGGATTGTGGGCCCTACTTGTGGGCCCTACTGTAACAACAAAGAGTGCATGGATTTGCTCTGCTCTGTACAATAGGTAAATCAACTCAGTAAGAATTAGCAGAATTAATAACAACACCATTTTGGAAATAAATTAACTGAATAAAACTGTTGCACTCAGTGGATTTGAAGAAACAAAGGGAACACAGTTCAACTTGTGGTGAACTTTGATGCAACTTTGAAGTCTACTTTAAACAGCCAGGACTTAAGTCTGTGGTTTATACTGACATCCCCCGCTTCACAAGCTGAAAAAGGTAATTCCCCCCACACCATACAATTTTCATGTCATTAACAATCATATGGTAAGCAACTAATAAAAAAGTATCCCATTGAATTTTAGTGAAATAGAGGTTACCACCACAGCATCAGCAAACTCGTGTTTGTTTATTTTCCCTTCATAAATTATATTAATTTAACTTGTTTCACTCCATATTTTTTCCCTGGTCATCCACGCACCCCCTGCAGTGGCTACATGCTCCTCTGGGGGGAAAAGCTACTCAGTTTAAGAGCGACTGCATTAAAGTAACAGAGAGGTCTGGAGACTCCTAAATGGAGGAAGCCATCACATTATTTGGGTTGCACCATCTAATTTTATATAACCCTGCTTTGTTGAATGAGAAGTGATGCCAATAGAGATCTTCAATTGAGTGGAAGATTGCTTCAAAACAAAAATGTGTGTATTCTCACCTCAGCTGGGGAGCCCTTCTCTACAGATTTGATGATGGGGACTCTGTTCCTCTCTTCCAGGGTAAAGCCGTAGCCTCCATCACTTGGCCTTATCTGGGAAAAAAACAACACGTCTCCCATCAGCAAAATCCCAAGCCAACAAACCAAACCATTTTCACAGAGCACGAACACACACACCAGAAGCAGACACTGGTACAGACAGATAGCAGCCATGGTAGTATTTGCTCACTCCTCTGAAAAGAATGCTTACTGAGGTATAAAATGGACTTTTGCAGTGTTATGGCTTTTCCTTCTCACAGCTGTGTGCTTCCTAATGATTTACTGTGCCTTTGGTTTGTTCTGAGTTTTGGGCACGTTAAAGCAAAGTTGCAGTCTATTAGACAGACTGAGAGCTAATCCATCTATCAAAAGCCACCAAGGAGTACTGTAAGTGAGTGCTCACCAGGAGAGACTTGGAGATGACGTTCTCAACTATTTTCAGGTCGTGCTTCATAGGTTTGTGTTTGGTGTTGGAACCCTCCATCTCCTCATCAGCAAAGAAACGAAACAACAAGGGCTCGTCCTTGAATTCACTCTTTTCCAGCACTGAAGGAGGCAACAACAAAATCATGGATGAATAAATGTCAGAGAAAGAACTAAATTAAACTTGCTGAATAATCATATTTCTGGCAAATAGATTGTTTTTAGACTTAAGAGTTCATACCAGTGTGTTTGAAAGTTTTAGCTCCTTAACTGCAAATAATGTATAAATCACAGTTTTCAAAAGTATATCATACAGTTTTAGATTCTTGGATGATTTTTGGATGAGTTTCTAATGCTTAGGGTGGCCACTGGCTTCCATTTAAACAGTATAAAAATAAATGAACACACTCTTGTGCGAGTTGTGTAATTCATCACAGTGAACATCCAGTCTGCAGCCAAGTTAAATTATCTCTTATCTCTCATGGTAATGCAATTTTGAGAGCAGTTAGATTCATAGATTTGATAGTGTGCACAGCATTTCCTCAACTATCATGTAACCCTGACAAAAAAATTATGAAAACTTGACAAACTGTTGGGAAATTAATGGAAACCAATGGAGGCTTGGATAGCTAGAAAATGCATTCAAACGTCTATAACACGGGAACATGCACACATGATTTGTGGTAAAAAGGTGCTAAAACATGCAAAATCACTATGATGGTATGACAACTTTAAATTAAATTAAAGCATGTTCTAGTTCAATTACTAAGACTGCCGATGGTTAATTGAAAATTTTACTCTCTCAGGCATTCATTCATTTACGGACACAGGGAGAATATGTGAGAATATGTGTGTAACTCTTAACACATGCAGAACATATAAAAATTAACAATCAATCACTTTGCATTAAGTTAAGAGATTTAAACATTATTAGTCACATGCCAAATGGAACATGCCCAAACACTTAAACACATGCGCACCATGTAACCCAAAATCCACAAATACACACCATGAGAGAAAGGGAGACCTCATTTATGTGGCAAGATATCACTTTTGAATGAACCCAGTCTCCAGAGCAACATAATGCCTTCACCAAGACTTCAATTTTGTAATGAAAAAATAGCCGTGAGGGGACAAACAGAGTTTTCTCCTAACATTCTCTCACTTCATTCTCCTCAAAATCAGATATAGGGGCAATAGTTTTAATAGCTACATTGTCAGGCCAAATAACTCACTGGCATGAGTGGTAAAATTATCCTGAAGGCTGTGGAAGTGAGAGGAAGTTTGATGGCTGCTATGTTCCATAGATGCTGGTAATTTGTAGTGTGAGGCTAGAACTGTGGATAGTTTGGAATAGTTACATCATGGAGGTACAAGGAGACACTCCACATGACTCATACAGTAGTGTGTATGATGTGGACTCTGGCACGGGGGAAGCGCAGAGTTGAAAACAAGTCTGACTCGCATAAACTGTAACCATAGTTACTGACCATTTTGTACTTAAACCGACAAACATCCATGTGCTATCTGGTTCTCACAGCTAAAGCAATCCATGCATGTGCCCTGAACTTGGCTACTTAAGTCATAAGCACACAAGTATGCATGAAGTTAATGATAGTATGCATGAATACAGTCATAGCCCTAACCTCACAAACACACACACACACACACACACACACACAAACAGACACACATGCATACATACAAATTCATTCACTGGATTGGAAAAAAGTTCTATTTCTGTAGCGTGTCAAAGGGATTATAAGTAGAAATGGAAAGAGAACAAGAGTGGTTGTGTTCTAAAACAGGATGCTAAATGCCAGGCGTCCTCTGTGCGGTTTCTCCAAAGCATTCAACTCTCATTTAGTCAATGATGGAGAGGATTCCACGGTTTGTGAACAGCAGGATCAGAACTCTCCTTTTTTTATTTATTTTTTTTTGCTCTGCTGAAATCCTCAGCAGTGAAAATTGCTGTACCGTGATGCATGAAGCCATTGTCGCACAGCTCCACCCCCAAGATCAACGCTTCCTCCCTGGTTCTGCAGTCCCCCTGCACCAGAAGACACAGGAAAGAAGGGATGCAGTGGAGAAATGATAGAAGATATAAGCAAAAAGAGAGGATAAAGTAAATGAGTCAAGTGGGTAAAAACCAAGAGGATGAGAGAAAATGAAGTAGAAAGAGAGACAGAACAAAGGACATTGTGTGTTTAGAGAAATGTGACACTCATCCCCCCCCACTTTGTTCCTGCATCCCAAACCCCAAGGCCAGCAGAGTCACTCCATGCTCCATCTTAAACAGAGCCAAAATCATGTCTAGACAGCCTAGTGTGACAGCTCTTGAAGTCCCACTAAAGGAGAGAGAGAGCTATTCCGCTGGCCTGGGTCAAACACATTCATATGGACTACCACACACATGCACATATATGCACACACAAAAATGTGATGTCTGCCATTGATTCTGTGGTGGTCGCCATATACATTTCATTTCTTTGTTGTCATCCTGAACAGGACTATCAATCTGTCAACCTCAAAGCTTCCTGTCAAAGTCAATAAAGCTCAGCTGTCGAATCAATTCTGCTTTTCCTTCTTTGTTTCCTTTTGACTCCGCTGAGATCCTCAAGTCTGATGGCAAGAAACACTTTGTCTCGGTTTTTTTCCTCTGTTGCACATCTGAAGTGACCCACAAAATGACATATTGATGTGTTTCAAGTTATGTTTTACTTCAGGAAAAAACTTTTCACACATGTAAAACAAAGCTAAATTTGAAATTTTTTGAATTACATTTTGCTTTGAATTCTGTTAAACAATATATTTTTATATTGTTCTCATATGATTCATCTGAATTTTGATATACATTAATATTGCTTATCCATAACTGTGGATGAAGCGGTTTAAGGGCTTACCTGTGCGATAAGCCAGTCTATCAGCTTGTTGGCCATCACCACTGATTTGTAGGTTCGCAAATGGTAGTCCTTATCCCTGGATGGACATAAGAGCAGAAAACTTCATGTTAAAACTTTACTGTGCCATGTTACTATTCAATTCTGTGATTCACTTAAATTGTATTAAACCCAGATGGGGAACATGCAGAGCAGTAATTGCTTGGTCTATTTAAACCCAAGGCCTAAAAGAGGACTAATAATTCCCACTGTCAGCAAGGCGTGGTCACTTTTCAAACACTGGCAGTTGCATCATAAATCTAAGCGAGTTTCTGACAGTTAGCGACAGCAAAACAGCATTCCTCTGAGCATGGCTGGTAACGGCCCCTGCAGTGTCTGGCACTGGGGTGCCCCATGTCAGTCCGGTGTTGCTGTTTTCAGTGTTACCCACGCACAGACGCACAGACCCCGAGAATGCCATCTGAAATGGAGCTGTGACTTTCCCATGAACACAGGGGCCTCCCCGGGGACACGCAGAGGCCGAGCTGCAGGCCGGGAAAGTCCAGAACCACCGTGACCTACAGCGCTTCACCATTTCCACCACATGCAAACACTCACTCAGACACACGTAACCGCATTCACACACAGTTCAGACAAGTCAAACTTGACATGTGGGCGAAGTTAAAAGTCCAATCTCAGCTGTCTGAAGCTCTTCAGAAATGTCAGGCGTGAGAGGCCTATTGCTGCCATGTTTCCTCCTAAAGAAAAATTCTGTTGGGTATCTGTATCTGACAGCCTGTGTCAGTCTCTGATGAGGACCTTGTGCTGATATTAGCTGATGAGACATATTATCATGCCCTTTCCATGCATGAACCACTTGGACCAGAAGAGGCAAAAAGGAACCCTGTTTCCCCTGAATGGATTCGTAGAGATTGGGGCTTCAGCGGCTGGTGCACAGTGAGGCTGTCAGAGTGAAAAATGGGGGGTGAACAGCGGTCCAGTGGGCAGCCATATGTTCAGCATGAGGAAACAGCAGTGTGAGGAGTAACAGAGGGAAAGGTCAGAGAGCTTTTTAACTTGTTGTCCAAAGAGGAAAGTTTGCCTTGACATTTTGTTCGGGGTAAATGGATGATGAAGGCAAATGTTGCATTCTTAATGCATTCTTCGGAATATATTATACAGAGGATGCTGAAAGTTGAAGCTTTAATCAACTGTTTCAGTCCTGATGAATTACTCAAGTACAGTGTACCGTATTGTTAGTTATTTTGGAAATCCTAGACCTACATCTATAAATATTGAGTTTCAGGAGAACTCTTTAGCATAATGAAGAAAACTTGTCAATATTTCTGAGAAGCTGAACTGAAATGCCAGTTTTTCCAATCTTAACGAAGATAATTCATGAGTCTCCTTTCCTGTATTGTGTTATTGTGTGGGTTTGCAGCCTCTCTGTGCACATACTGAAATAGTATACTTCTTATTGCATTATTAAACTTTAACTGTGTGCACACAGTATTAGCCTTTAGTGGACAATTCAAACTGTGCAATCAGATCCTTTGGAGTGGATGGATTCACAGCTTTCTTGTGAGGGAGGTAGGGGTGTGAGGGGGGCACAGAAGTGTAGTGGGGGGTGCGGGGAGTGCGTACGTTAGCCCCCTTCGCTTCATTGCTCTCGCTATGCCAGAAAATTATACCTAATTAGGCAGGGGCTGGTTGCTCCAATTAAACTCTGGCATTCCCAAGCCCTGTGATGCATTGTACTGGGCTCTCAGTGAGAACACACTGCACAGATATTCTGGCTAACGACACACACACAACATCGACAAGAGTTTTTACGTAAAGAGGTCTGGCCTCAATACAAACGGCAATGGACAGAATGCTGACACACACACACACACACACACACAGACACAATCACTTTTAGGCTTTTTAGTAGTCGGATCAAACAGAAATGCAGAGAAGCTTCTAAGCTGGAATACATTCAGTATCAGTGTGCCCCCTCCAGCTATGGCACAGTTTTATTGGTGTGAAATTAAAGCTTTTCATCAGGCCATTTGAAATCCAGCATAAACAGGCAACATTGATGTGGTGCTTTGCGGTAAAACATATTAGCAGCCTGCACCTCAAACACTGATCAAATGGAATAAAGATTTAAGAAAAACACCAAAAACCAAAGCAATGCTAGCAAATTACTCCCTATAAAATGTGATTGCTCCACTTCTAACTCCCTAAGACAAAGAGATGTTTCATCATGTGTGCCAAAATTTCTCAAAAAGCACCTGTTTCACATTTAGGTTTAAGTGAGTATTTCATGGGCATGCTGGATGTTTTTGCTTTTACATGTTTACACTAATTACCGAGTGTATATCTGAATAACATATAATGGAACCCAGAACTCCTTCCGATTTCAGTACTGAAACTTCGAGAACAAAAGTGTTGAACTTCAAATAGCAAAATGGCTATTTTGCATCACGTCATTTGTTGAAGAACTGGAATCAATGTTTGCCTCCAGCTGCACGACTCCTAGTTGGACCTTTCAGAGCACAGGATCAATATTCTGTCGGTCACACTCAGTGAAATGTGTAAGACCTGTGTATTGTAACTGAATGGTCCCTGTAAAATGCTTTATAACATAATAGAGGCTATTTGTAACTGTGATGAATGGACTGAGCCATGTGACCCAAACATAGTGCAGACACATAACAAAGGAGGAAAAAATGACCAAAAATCCCCTGTAGGTTTGGATTCAGAAACAGGAGCAACATACTTTGACAAAAAAGCACAACTCAAAGTCCACTTACTAGCCTTTATCAAGCTTTTAAACATATTACACAGTCCTCATCATAGAATGGAGTTTGCTCAGCTTTCATGAAGATGGATTTGAGGACATGCAAGCTCAGTAGCTGTTTAAATTTCATTCATAGCTTTTTTGGGACTTCTCATCATGTTGGCTTTAAGTTAAGGCTTGACCGCAGCCAAGGACAAACTTTCATTCTGATGAAGACCGTGTGATGGAATCAAAAGCTCCAGAAAATAGCTAGTGATGCCTTGGGTGGAGATTGTGTTGTCACGCTACTATTTCCAAGGTCAACAATAAATTTGGAGATGCGGCTGATAAAGAATGAAACGTTTATGCTGATGAAGACCCTGAAAAATACACAGAAAAATACCTCTGCACACCTGAGATTGCTTACCATAACTATTTCCAAGGTCAAGAATGAGACCTTTTCTTTGTGACATTATTTGCATACCAAAATCTTCAAACAGACTATTTATGCAGAAAATTAACTCTCAAAAGCATCAAGAGAGATTCATCACAATGTCAGCCATTTATCTGTGTCCCACATGTACCCAAACTACTTGTAACATCCGATAAACTCCATCTTCTTCACCACATCTGTGTTTTGAAACCGGGGAAGATAAAAACCTGCCAAGCTCGATCACCCACAGGCCCCACCGCACTCCATCACCATCTGTGCCAACTCCTCCTAAGTCAGTTCCTCTTTAAAAAACAATGAGCTCATAGTTCACCGTGATATTTCTCTCCTCCTCTCTGGTTGCTTTGTGGTGTAGCTATTTTAGGAGCAAGAGCCAGATGCTAAGCTACTGGAGCCCCACATGGCTGGGTTGCAATGGAGTAGAAAGGAAAATGGCGGCCTACCTGATGACAGGAGTGAAGAGGCTGTGAAGACGGCAGAAGAGCCGAACACCCTGCGAAAATCGAGCAGATTTTGATTAGGTCAGTGATTGGTGTGTAAAATGTAATTTATATTTAATTAGGCTCTACTGTTGCACTGTTACCTTAGATATGACATCATGCATGTCACTTCTGGGGTGGTAGGTGCCATCGTCGTAGCGGAAGCGGTACAGTACAGGCTCAGGTTTGAACTGGTATTTGTCTGTGACTAAAAATGCAATTCAAAACATGAGGGGGTTTCTGAAAGGAGATGTGCCAGAATGAAAGAAGAAACAAGTAAAAAAAGTCTCAACCCTAAAGGGAACATTATTCATCCTGCCTCAAGTTTGAAAGTATAAGAGGTTTAAAAACACATTCAAGCCAAGCAGGGCTGCATGGTAAAACAAGCTTTCAAGACAAGAGGAAGACTCAAACCTCATACAGAGTGGTCACAGATAACACAGCTGCTCATAGCTCCCTGCTCCTCTTGCTTTAGGGGACTTTGTCGAGGACCCTCCTAACTGTAATAACAGTTGGCTCTGTATTCTTGGCTGTAGGCGTGCTGGTTCCATTAAAGGTTTTTATGAAAAGATATTCTATCGTTTTTCACATGGGGACTTCTAACTGCACTGTGAGAGAGCTCAGAGAGGCTCGGAGTTATGCCTTTCTGTCAGGAACAGCTCTAAAGCCCAATCTCATTTCTCTGTGAGGAAGCAATAAAGCACCCCCAGAGTGATTTAAGATACAACTTGGCTTGAGGCCCTACTCTTTTGAGGAAAAACTACATGCAGAGCAGTATGCACCATTTAGTGTGAATGCAAAGCATTAGGCTTAAGCCTCATGCGCTAAATACACTTGTTACGCAAAGCCACAGAACGGCCACTGAGCAAATATGACAAACATTTACTGCAAGAAGAGATTAATAATTATAATCCCTAACCTAAACATTGTGTCAAGGGAGTGTTTAAATAGGACACCTGCTAAGACATAAATAAAACAGCTGCATCTACATTGTAGGCTCAAGCCAGGGAGAGAAAGTGTTGTGAAACTCTGCTTTTTGAATGAGGAACATTCATTGGACACGGCTAGAGGTTAGGTCAGGCAATGGCAGGCACTTGCATGCTCTCCGCTGCGCAGCACAAAGTAAATTAGACTGTGGTAGATTTGGTTTTAGATATGGAACAGCAAAAGACGTTAAAGCAGGTCTTAGTGAGGGAGAAAAAAGGAGAAAATTGTGAGAACCAACCATGGTGGATGATGCCATTCTCCAGCAGAGCCTGACCCAGGTGAACCCCTTCCTCTGGATTGCCTGTCTCGCCGATTTCCATCAGCCAAGATACAAACTCACTGGAGAGACACAAAAGACAACACTGAAATAATAATACACACACACTCAATCAGGGACAACACGACAAACATACACAAAATCCCCAAGGGAAATCCTGTCACTCCATAAAAGAGAATGTGTGTGATCAGTGGAGAGAGCTTTGAATTTATCCTTACTAATCTGTAAATAGGGAAAAAAAAGTGGTTGCCTTTGCTGTCATTACAGAGAGCCTTTACAACTTGCCACAAACAACATTTACTCTAAATTGATGTGACTATGGCAACAAACACTATCTTGGCAAAGAGGAATGATTTATTTACTGTTGGGGGCCACATCTGTCCGTTAAAACAACCAGCAGGCTTTAGTTTGTGTCTTTTGTCCAGTTTCACTTTATTTATTTTAGACATACATCGTAACACTATCAAATACGCAGGATTTAATTGGATCTTGGGAAGTTCATGATGGAAAATGAAAGATATTTTTTGTTCTGCATCATTTACAACTAGAAAGAGGAAACAAACCCACTGCCAGAACAACAAACAGCATCCGATCTTCTGATGGCCCAAACGAGGTAAATGGGATAATTCTCCATAATTTAGTGACTCAGACAGAGAGAGAGAGAGAGAGAGAGAGAGAGAGAGAGAGAGAGAGAGAGAGAGAGAAACTAAGAGGACAAAATAAAAAGAGAGAAAGTAGGCAGAGTAGCAGCAGCCTATCTGATTACATTCTTGATGTCCTCTCTCCCCTTTAAAGATAAACAAACATGGCCAACGGCACCACTGGAATTCTGTGGAATTCACTTCCAGACCATGATGGAGGTGGCCGGGTGTCAGCGTCGAGCCAACAGGAGCAATTACAAAAGTTTTCAGAGCAACAACTGAAGAAAACACCCCGTCCTCTGTCCGTTCAACATCTTACGCTCTTTAACCACTCATCCTTGGCGTCCTTTCTTTCCACAACAGGCCACAGGGGAAAAACACAAGTCTATAACAACGTCAATTTGTCAACCTCTGTACCTTAACCATGGAAGGAAAAACACCCTGAAAGTTTGGACTGCGCAGTTCTCATGGCCTCAAGCTGATCAGGGTCACATATGCAAAAAACAGTTTCATGCTATTTGTATGTTGAGCTGGGCGAAACTGACCAAATTAAATATCCCAATGTTTAAGACCCATTCATGTAGAGATCAATAAATGTATGAATGCCTATCAGTGTTTAGCATAATACTTTAATCTAACCTGTAAAGGCCCAAATAAGTATTTTGTAAATTAACTTTTTATTATGAGCGATGGGGTCCTTCTTGAACACAAACTTTTCTTCCAAAGTTAGAAACGTTTTGGTATTTCAGAGGAGAGAGAGTTCTGTATGTATGTGTTTTTTTTGTTTGTGCTACTCTCACTGGTTTGGAAAGTTGTCTCCTAAATTTGAAGCTACAGCCAGCAACCGGTTAGCTTAGCTTAGCATGAAGACTGGAAACAGCAAGCCTGGTTCCATCAGGTAACAAAATCTGCCTAAAGGCTAATTAATATGGTACATCTTGTTTTTTCATTGGTTCGTTTTCACTTAATTTTGTTTAGTAACAGTAAGGAGAGACAGGGAATGCATGGAGAGAGGGGATGACATGCAGCAAAGAGCCCAGGCCACTGCTTATCCTTGATATCTGGTACCACACTACCGGGTGAGCAACCGGGGCGCCCCAACTTGTCGTTTTTTTACCCTTCAGTTTAGCAAACAAGATATAATGTGTCAATTAGTGAGTTTTGGAGGCGTGGGCAAGTGGATATTGTTACCTTCGGATGCCTGCCAGCTGCTTCCTCCTGTTTGCAGTCATTATTCTCACCTAAGCTAGCCGGCTGCTGGCTGTAACTTAACAGCAGACAGACATGAGAGTGGTATAAATCTTCTCATCGAACTCTCTGAGCGAAAGCAAAATGTCAAACTATCACTTTAAGTTTCTCTACGTCATTACATTAAGGCAATCAAATCCCAGATAGTATCTATTCTTATACAATATTGGTACAGTATATTAACTGATGTATGAATATATCTCCCGCGCTCTATGTATTAAATGCTGCCCACATCTAGGTGCAGCAAAAGCAGCAGGCTTTTTATTCTGCTTCAGCTTTATCATTTGTGTATGCTGACAGAGCAAAAGGTGTATTCCAAGACAAAGACAAAGGGCATTTCTTACAGGATGCCTAACCTTTCCACTGAGCTTTTAAAGGGCTTTTCATCAACCTCCATCACAACAAGCAGACAATGTTTTCTGAAATATGTAGAAAAAGACTACCACTTCGAATCTCCTTTGTTTTTCTGTTTATTCCAAGTTTAAAATTGGATGATAACTGTAAGCTAGGTGGTTGTCACACACATTTTCTTTGATGAATTACACTGTCACAGGAACCAAACCACAAATACGATTGTACCACTTAAAGGGGAGTCGTTCGAGACCCAAAAATAGCCTTCGGCCTTAAAAAATCAAAAAGAGAAAGAGGAGGCGTGGAAAGAGAATAAAGGAAAAGCATTTCACAATGGAGGGAGTGGGCTGAGTTGAAGCCATAGGCAATGTGGCTTTCATCAGAGACATACCATGCTGGTTGCAATTCACCAATTACGCCTACATGTAATCAGTACCAAAGTCATCTCAGACAGGGGAAGTACAGAGGGGCTAGAGATGTCTTTTCACCCACAAGTGGTCATCCAGGTGTTGGCCAAGTTATATATAGAGGGATAGGTTTCCAAAGGGAGCTTCCCCGAGCTGCTTTCTCACCATATGATCTCTTCAGACTCACCGAGGTGCCCACATACAACCAATGTTTGATCCTTTTAATCTTTTTAGCTGACAGATCCATTCCTCCTCCAGACCGCGAAGGATCTGGTGTTGTCTGCGTGGACCAAAGGAGAAAGTAACTGCTCATTCCAAACCACCATGCGATATAACATGGCCACAACTATGTCCAATTGGACTTTTTGGTCGTTGTTTTTTTCTCTCCGTGCTCTTAAAAATAACAGGGATTTTGAAATGGCTGCTTAAGCTCGGGTGATTTTCAGTGTGATTATTACCAGTCAAAACATCCCTGTTAAAATTTAAAACAAATGGAAAACATGGACCATTCAGAAATGCAGTGGGGCGTTTACAAGGGGAAATTTGTTATGGGATTTCAAGAGTCAAGATAGGAGCACAGTTTAAATAACATCCAACCAAGGCTGTCTTGTGAAAATATTTTATTTAATTTCCAGCCCTTTTTTAAATTGCATAGTTTCATCACTCTATAAAAATACTTCTGGCTGTCACACATAAAAATACTTTTGCCCGTCACATACAATTTTCATTTTTAAACATGGAGATCTCTTTGGCTGCAGCCAGATGTTTGTAGATTTTATTATTCTGATCCAGCTTCATCACCCTCTCAGTCTCACAATGTGTGCTTTTCACATAGGCCTACAATGTGGAAAGCACATTACTGCAATAGAGTAATTTTTGTTGAATGTGTGAAATGGAAATATGAATTGAGGTTACAGGTTTTCTGCACTTCCCCAGCTTAGGAAAGGAAGAGGTGCAATATCTCATCAAGATTTCCTGTATAAAGCTAAAGGGCGTAATGAAAATAACATTATATCACACCACAGGTAGTTTAAAGATGGTGGTTCTGGTCACACACACACACACACACACACACACACACACACACACACACACACACACACACACACACACACACACACACACACACACACATCAGTGATTGGAGTTACAGTCTGTGCCCCATAAAAATTTGATTTTGAAATAGACTGCAGGAGATCCAGAAATGTGAGTGTTTAAGAAGTGTTTCCCTGGACAAGATTATACCCTGGGCAAACTCAGTTCACTTATTTACTCATTTACTTGCATTAAAACTTTGCAAACTGACATGACAGAAATACATCTACAACTTACATGATGAAAGTAAAATACTGAAACGGGGGCATGCATGCTTAAAATAGCTCAAGGACAGGATTTTGAGCAAAGCACCCTTTACAGTAAATATTCTCACCTATCAGCAAAGGGAGGACAGATTGACATGTTTAGACTCATTAAAAGTAAACATGGAGCACTGGCATAGCTGAGAGAACTCAAGGACACAACGAACATCTCACAAGTGCACACACACTCTCTCTCTCTCGCTCTCTCTCTCTCTCACACACACACACACACACACACACACACACACACACACACACACACTTACACATACACATACACATACACATACACATACACAGCTGCCCTCTGGCATAATGGGCCCTCTACTGCAGTTACCTCATGGATTCCTCAGCAGAGAGCTTACTGTAATCTAACATGGGCGAGGGGGAAAGCGGGCATTCAGCTGAGCCGCACAGGGATATCTCTCTGTGATTTACGACTGGCATTCGATGGCCGATCCGTCCCCAGACACCACACCAATAATCCTTAAATAAGATTCATGGGCTAAATCTGGCTGGATTTGATTTTCCCATGACTGAGACTGCAGATATACATGACACTCAGTCTCCTGAACAAAAAGAGCCGATGCTTTCTTCTTCCCAGCTGCTGTCTTTAGAAAACCTTGCCAATTTCAAAATAAAAGCAGGGATGGAGAGCTATATAACAAAAGTGCTACCTGTCACCTGCTCTGGAGATAAAACCATATACCGTACTACTATCACTCACTTAACACTGTACAAGGTCTATACATCTGAGAACACACAGATTTAGATATTCATTGTGGTTTGTCTCAGAAACTCACAGCACAGTCATCCACTTTGACACTCACTTACTCCCTCACAGTTACAGTGCTTACACTGACGTGACACAAAGGAACCACAAGGACTGCATACTCAGCAGCTTCCTCACCGGACAAACCAAAGTGTCGTGATTAGCGACGAGAATCTTACCTTCCCAGGAAGCACTTGGGGAAGGTGGTGAGCTTGCGTTTCCGGTCCTTAATGAGGTTACCCTTGGTCATGAGGTGGTAGAGCTTCTCTCCCTTCTCTGACACCATCACCCACGTATCCTGCTCCATGCCGAGCCTCAGACCTATGCAGCAGAGGAGGGAGGGGGGGCAGAGAGGGTGTAAAAAGCCTGTCAGTATCGTGGCATTAATAATCTTTGCACTCAGCTCCTAGACTAGATGTGACATCAATTACCAGCTGGCAAAGGTTAATATCTCCTAATTTCACAAGATAATTAGCAGTGCCTTTCAATGCCTGTGCTTATAGTCTTCAGCATGGTTAATGACTGACACTATGACTAGACAATTTCAAAATGGGCAAAATAAAAACAGAATACATGCTGTCCTCACTATGTGTTTACCTTGTGGGAGTGACAACCTGTAAATATGTTAGCAAAGGCTTGTTAGCAAATATTACTGCATTACTTTTCCACTTATTCAGGTTCAATTGTATTGATTTTCCCAAACGCAGCATATATTCTCAGTTTGATTCAAGACAGATGTTGAGAGGAAAAGATTAAAGGGAAATGAGTTTCCTTAACAGACTGCATTGAAAGTAAACCGACCCCCACCCTGATCCTGATACAAGGTGAAGCGTCTTCTTACTTTTCCTCCGCTCCCTCTCTTTCATGATGGCCTCCAGCCACTCCTGCTTCTCCTCCGGGGTCTTGGCCATGCAGACGAACCACTTGTTCTTGGCCGTGTTGTGGATCTTCCAGCCGTTGTTTACTATGTTCCCACTGCTGTGGTAGTCAGCTGTAAGACAGAGGTGGAGAGCACAGCCACGAGTTTGACTTCACTGGTTTTATAAAGCCCTCTCTCCGCGAGGGGTGGAACAACGCAAATCCACTTTTTTGACTCATTTAAGCTGAGAGAAGTTTTTCATGTTTGAAGGGGAGGGCCGTCAATTAGTGGTCGCATTGATCATGACACTGTAAACAGAGTTGTTTGGAAGTCGGCTTTGCTGTAAATGAGGGTTACCGCATAAAACACAGCAATAACATGAGGCACAAGTCCAATGATTTGCTTCAGAGAACGCAAAGCAAAATAACGTGATAGCAGCAGTAGGGCTCATAAAGGAAAGAACAGGAAATGCACAAGAACAGACAACACATTATCTGATGAATTAAGGCTTTCTCATACAGCAGTGTGTGGTCTATTTTGCAAACACAACATCCACTATAAAACTATCGAGAATAATGTACTCTATCTTACTCCAAAACTCGCTCTAGACTAATTTTACCCAGCTCTAGTGCCGGCCCTAAATAGCCTCTCTATTGAGTGCTTCATTGATTATTGCTCTTCTCTTTTAATGAGATAAACGAGAGGACACACATGCAGAAGAAAGACCATCCATCAGCATTATTTACTACTGAGTGTTCAGAATACTCCCACAGAGCTGATGGATACTTGTGATTCCCCACCAGGCTCAAATATAGACGTTGAATGTAAAAAAAAGTTTTGAACTTTTGAACGTTAGCTGAATCTCCGTCCTTATTTTCATCTCTTAGGGAACATTTCAAATGCCTCCCCGCCTGACCTCTGATTTTCTCCCTCTGAGGGTGTAACAAAAAGCAAACCATTACAATCATCAATTACAATCACGTCTAAAAGCATCTACAGTGTGGTGTCCTTTATATGGTATGCCTTGAGGGCGTTTTTCAAACCTCAGGCAGCAAGTGTGCTCCTGGGAAAAAAGTCGTGGTGCTTTCATTATGTAGGAATCTAAGCTAAAATACTCCTGTCGCCCAGGATTTCAGATTGAGATCTCCCGCCTGTGGTGCAGAACACCCAAGAGTAACTGCACCGCTGCCTGCTTCACGTGTTTATCCTCCCCATCCAGACCCAAACTCATCCATCTCTCACCAAAAACACCCAATATTACTGGCCATCTAGGTCTGCTGGAGAGGAAATGATGGCTTCTACAAATATAAATGATAATCAGTGGCTATGTGAGGCCAAGAGACACAAGCGCTCGAGCTCACCAAGGATGTGTAACTATAGATGTCTAAAAAAAAATGTTTATAGGTAAATCTTATTTTTCCATTGGCAATCCAAGTAAAATCACACAGTTGTGCAACAGCTCAGGCCAAAAACTATGTTGTCAACGTTCCTGTGTGGGTTATTATGGCATGTTTTAAACCCCTGCTGCCAGGAGAGCTAAAATTAAAAAATGAGGAACGAGCGAGCACGAAAGGAGAAAGAAAACCTAGCGAAAACAGTTATTTGTCCAAATTGAATGTTGCATGTTTTTGCAGGACCACTCACCAGTGCCATCATCCACATTTTCCACCTCCATCACCTCCGTGTTGATTCTACCTCTGAACAGGTAGCGAGGACCTTCTGTGGCCGTCTTGCTGTTTTTTAAACGCCTTGGATGGAGAGAAGCAACCACAATAATTAGCCAGTGAGGTTTAATCATTTCATGTTATTACTTACTGCGTAATTAGTCTCACTCACAGTTCCTTCAGGGACTAATTATAATCATCTGATGTTTGAACATATGTACTAACCAAATTAAGTGAGGAAAATGACTCCAATTTAGATACAAGAATACAAGAAATTAAGGTCAGAGCTAAACTTTTTCTTTTCTTTTTTCCTTTTTCTTTCTTTAGTCAGTGAATGGATGTGCTTTTATGTACTACCTGCAGACACTACACTGTATACAGCACGTACAGTAAAAGGAAATCAAAGCAGGTGGCAGCTTGGTTGGTGGTGTGTAAACAAAAGCCCAAAACATGTACAATGGCTGTAGGAGCATTGTTAGCGGCTGCATCAGTAGCTCAGTGTGAGCAGCACAGATCTGGCGAAATCGAAGCTAGTTTATACAGAGCGAACTATTCATCAAGTGTTCTGCCTGCAGAAGCACAACAATGGTCGGCAATCAGCAAGAGTTCCCTGACTCAACGTGCACTAATCACAATAACTGTCATATTATTTGGTATATTTCCACATGAGCTACTTCAAAGATAAATCTACTAGCCATGGGTCCACAAATGGTAATAGATCCCCACATAGGCTACTCACGTCCCCATTTCCCCAAGTTAAAAAAAATCTCCCAAATCCTTTTCTCACGTGTCTCGTCTACTGCATAACTTTTCTTTCAACTCCCTCACAAAACACTAAAATGCTTCCCACAGTGCGCTGCTCCCTTTTCTTTAAAAAAAAGTGAAAGAACTGGCGCAGTGAATTATTTATAAGGTCCATGCTCTAAATGTTTTGTGGGAGTACAGACAGAGGGAAATTTTAAATTAGCATTAACAATATTTTTATTCTGTCTCCTAAAAAATATACACTGATGAGAATTTAAATGTATCTTCTGCTTTGTGGATTTTTTCTGTGTAGTAATGATAAAAGAGGGTTCAAGACACCTGTTTTTCTTCTTGCAATAGACCAGAAGTTTGTCAAACAGGAAGAAAATCCTCTCTTGTATGTTTCCAGCTGAAATCTTCAGGAGGACGCCATGCATGAGCATCTCCGTGCATGTATCAGTGATATTGGAGCCCTGCAAACAGACATGTGGACAAAAGGTCAAACAGACAGAAAAAATAGAAGAGCCAAACAGATGCTTGGACACAGATTGACACACAAGGGGAATACAGGAGTAAATTGTATTTTTTGGAAAGTTTCTACAAATGATTTTTATACCATTCAGTGTTCACACAGTGTCTGAACAGGAGTGGGCATTACAAAGCCCAGCCTTTCCTGTTCCCTCTCTCAGGGGTCTGTAAAAACACTCCCTGCTTCCTCAGACCAGATTGCTGTGGGACTTTAAAATGCATGGCCGTTAATGGCTTCTATAGAATAACATCCCGTCCAGTCAAACTATGTGTTGCATTGTCGCGCCTGGTCACCATATTGGTTGGGGTTCCTGCTGCTAGTGATAAAGTGTGCTGTCTTTTTCCTTACCTTGCCTGCTCTGGGAATTTATGTACCACGTTTGATCGGCCCTTCAGAGCTAAAAATAACTCCCTTGCGCACAGAGCCGGAAAATGTGCTAAGCATTTCCTCCTGCTGGAGACATCAACGGGCCAAAACCTATCCCACTTTTTCCTTCTTTCTCTCCTCACCCTTTTATCCTCCTTCTCCTCCCTTCCCTTCCGCCGATCATCTCTCACCCCAGTCTATTCCTCTATCTCTTTCATTCCTTTCTCCACACTTCTTTTTAGTCCCTGCTCCACTCTTTCAGGGCCTTTTAACTCCCCAGCCCATGACCAGATGTTAAACTAATTTGCAGCCAGTGAATGTGTGCACACCAGACATGGAAAGGCCAACTTGTCTTGGCCACTTGAAGGGGCCAATAGCAACATCACACTGATCCAGACTATAGAGCTGCATTTCCTCACTGGAAGAAACGACACTTCCCTTTTGTGTTTCATGCACTTTTAACAGAACCGCCAGTCCATTTACGTCTTTTGGTGTCGCCTTTTTCTTCTTCTCTGCAGCATTTTTCTATCACTCTTCACATCAATTCTGTTCCAAGCCAAAGCTCCACAGAGGGTGTATTCTTCCTAAAACCTAAACAACACTTTAAACCCTCAGTCATCTGTTTCATCTAAAATTCAACCCTCTATTTTTACAGTCAGACAACTGCCAGACATAACAACTGCAGAAAAGGATAAAAAAAAAAAAAAGAGGAATGACGAAGCAGGATATGCCATTAATTACGGAAAAAGTACGGTAGAGAAGTTTGTGTTAAACTCTGGAGTGGTATTTGTCAATTAGCTGAAGAGATGAGAGAATGTTACTGAAAGTATTTAAAGTAAAGAAGCCAAATCAAGCAAACTCCACAACTCAAATAGGTTTTAAGAACATTAATTAAACTTCCACAAGAGAACAGAATGTGAAGTGAAACACAACTGGAAACTACCCGCTGCTAAATTAAAATATTGCTAGGGTGCACAGTGACAAAACACAGACACTTGCAACACTAACCAACTGGCAATCACCGCCCTGACAAATGCTGGCAGTCGTCACCATGGTGACCACGGCGGGCCATCGCCCTGTTTCTCCCACGCGAGGTGAACCTGCCAGGATGCCCCGAGGGCAGCCAGCTGTGGAGCAGGTCAGTGCTAACAAGCAATCAGCCTGGGCGGAGGAGCAGGGACGGAAAAAACAGCAGCGCTCACAATCACTCCTCATCCCTCCATCATTCCTCAAACACCCACACAGAAAAGGCAAGATGCAACCATTGATGAGCTCTCTCTCTCTCCTCTTCTTTTTTTATTTTCTTCTTTAGTTCCATCTCATTTAGAGCTGCAGTGCTTGGCGTGCAGCAGTCAGAGGGTCCTGATCCAGAATGAGCTAATGTTTACAATTAATAAAAGTGCTGAAGGGAAACCGCAGAGTAGCTACAGCCAGGACTATGTCGAGTACAAGACATGTCACCCCACCCAGCACTAAGCCTCATTCTGATCACACTATTCTTAGACTTGAAACTTAGACAATGTGTGTTAGGTGTGTGTGTGTGGGAGTGTGTGTAAAAGTGTTACTGTGTTAGACTTAATATATTCCTTATCATTTGTCTAAATAGTTTTTTTCTACATTAATGGATTCAAGATGTTTTTTCGTGCCCATCTATTTGTGTTTCTGCAGTAAATTTTACTATAAAGTTAAACAAACTTACTAAAAGCCTTTCTAAATGCCTTGCTAGTACTATAACAACACTGACACTAAAACAACACATTCACAGGAACATCTCGGCCACATGCAAGGAAGTCCAATCATGCTCTATCGTATCTTGTCTTACTCATATCTGAGTAAGTTGTCACTGCCTACACCTTCGTCAGAAGCTGCATCAGCACTGACAATGTTTATTTGCATGGAGCCAGGCCAATTACATAAGCATCCCAGACTTTTGCCTTACAATTACCACCAGTGTTTTTTTCTTTCCAGCCACCACTGAACACATATTAAGGCATACAAGAACTCACAAAGAAAATGTACCTAAAGGCAACCCTGAAGACCAAGGAGTGTGGTCTACCTGACGATGATTGGATCCGTCACCCTAAAGCATTACGGCTTTAACAACAAGCAACAGGCTCATCCAGGCAGAAAGAATTTGGCCATTGTGAATACAAGTCATTGTTCCCAGAGAGAACAAGAAAGCTTAAAAGGCTACTAAAGTCACGCCACTTGGAATTCTTGTCGAATTGCTGGCATAGGTCTAACTGCCTTTCAATAAGTCATGACTTTGAGCTTTGGCAGGGTGAAAACTTAGCTGTGTGTTACAGGCAACAAAAAAACCTCCAAGCCAACTGTTACGACACAGCAAGAAGTCAACGCAGCCGTTTAAGTTGAACTCATTGGATTAAGTTCAATCATTCAACACTGTGTACACAGTTTAGTTGAAGCCCACCTCCCAGCCCTCGATATGGGACTGCCATTCCTCCAAAATCTCCAACTTCTCCATCTGTCTCTTGGCTTCGTTGATGCTGGAGCACACAGCCTTCATCACCTGCAGAGACTCCTGAACCAGGGCATAATCGTTGTGTTTCTTGGGGGTTCTTTTCAGTAGCTCCTGCATATGTAAAGACACACAGAAAAACTAGTTTAGAGTCACACATTCACATGAATGCACATTTCCTATCCATTCTGCATTTGCTTACCTTCCAGTGGTTTCTGAGTTTAGTGGTTAAAACCCCTGCTCCTGCATGCAACGGTCTAGCAAAAGCGATTGCAATCTCTGCGTCTATAGTCTAAACACAGTGTTTTAGCATGTCAGCTACTATAGGGCTGATTTACACTGCAGCCAGTGATGGCTATCTGTGTAATTTTAGAGAAGGAGGCCCGAGCAGCTGGAAGACTTCAAATGGCAGAGCGTCAGATTACCCCCTTATTATTATTACATCTCTGTGCCCGTGCTGGTGGCTGTTTAGAGAACGCCTGGGTGAATTAATAGATCATAACAAGATGAATGAGATGGGACAGCTCAGATCACCAACTCAAACAAGCCTTTGAACGTGTATTTCATTTCACTCACGTTTCACATTGAGAAAAGGGAAATTTCAAAACTAACAACTTGGAGAGCAGGTATGAATGAGCCCAGTCAAAGTGTCTGAATATGCAGCTGGGCAGGGGAGGTGATGATAGGCCTTTCTTGTGTTATGCTACGATGTGGTTGGGCTGGGGGAACTAAAGCAGAGACGTGTCAGAATATGAGACCAGTGTTTCATTAAGGAGGGAGAGGTTGATGTGAATAGGACGGGACAGCCCTAACTAATGACTAGGTGGTTGTGGATGAAAAGAGGTGCAGAAGGTGCCCTACAGAGGTGGCACAAGGGTGTGGTATCTCCATAATACATGGTTAGCATGCACAAGACCATACTCACTCTGAGCAGCAATGGGTACTTGCAGATCCTCTGAATAGGAGCTACCAGGTAACCCTCCAGTGGGACCTCCGTGTTTTTTCTGCCTCCCAGCAACATGCAGTTCTGGAGAAGAGGAGAGGAGGTTTAACAAGGCTAAAGTTTGTCGATTGTAATGCTCATTGTAGAAGAAACCCCCCACCCCCCAAAAAAATAATGTAATTATTATAATGTATTTGCCAGAGAGCGGTGTTAGAATAAAGGTCTTCGGCAACACCATAAGGCTTCATCAGTAGTATCAGCAGAAATATCAAAAGGTTAATTCACTTGCGAGAGTTTATGATATTAGCTACTGCTGGGTGACCAAAGAAGACCAAAGTCCTCAAATGTCTGTTTTTGTCCACAACCCAAACATATTCAGTTTACTATCACAGAGGACTAAAGAAACCAAAAAAAGATTATTTGGACATTTTGACTGATGAATTGATTGTCAAAATAGTTGGCAACTAATTGATTCATTGACTAATTGTTGCTCTAGTAGTATCTGAAATATCTCAGACTGGACCAACCACCAGACCATCTGACAGCCAAACATGGCCATTCCTAAATATTTCTTTAGATTGAGCATAATAGAGATAAACTTTTTCTTCAGGTCGATCAAAGTGACCCTTACCTACATGTGGTAGGTTAAAGGTTATGAGGTCAACTGCTAATATCCATTCTCACCTCCCTCTCACCTGAAATTTCCATGAGGTGCTGAATTACGGGGTAAACAATAAACTAGGTTTAATAGTAGCCAGTAGGCCAAAGGTTTAGTGGAGGTTAGCGGATATCCCCACCCTGGTCATTGCAGGGCCGGGGAGGTGACCTGAGGTATATTAGCCCACAGCTAAGTGTAGGTTGGAGGGTAACATGAGACCCATATAGCCCTGATGGAAGGTTAGGTCACAGAAAGGTCAAGGCTATAAAGACCCTATTAAATCAAAGTCAATTAATATCTTTGCCTCCTCCAGCTTCCCAGATTAAAGTCACATATGAACAGTAAATCAGACACAGAGCTCTTGCAGCCACTCCTCTCTGATGGAGTGTATAGTATGTGCATGTGTGTGTTTCAATTCTCACTCCATCAATTACTGTCTTAAGAAAAAAGGTCATATGCTTCACCAAAGAGCCGGCCAATCAATACAAGAAAGTCTGTGGTAGATCTCGATTTCAGAGTGCTCTGTTTTAATGGAAGTCTTAAAACGTAAGGGGTGATGGTGTGTAGGTTGACTCAAGTGTGTGCCACTCTGAGGCAAAGGGGCATGGAGCGAGAAGGACTAGCATTACCAACTGTCAGAGCGTATGAGTAAAACGTGAAAAATATCACTGCAAACACCATAAAGAGAAGAGCTGTAAGAGGCAATGGAAAAGAAAAGGGCGAACATTTTGACCCCTTAAAGTGCACACACATGCACACACAGACATATACACACACACACACACACAGTTTAGCGAGCCAGCAGTGGGGATGCAGTCATCTTTTGTTCTAGCAACATGATGCTCCCCTGTGGACGTGAACGTGTCTCAGAGTGTCGGGACAGGAAGAGGGAGTCCGCCCACACAAGGGGCAGAGTCACATCAGCTGTCAGACACACTGGAACATAAAGTACAGGGTTTTATACTGTCCAGCTGCCATGTGTGGGTGACTGTGTCTTTGTATGTCTGAGAGAGTGTGGTGGTTTGTTTCCATATCCGAGCAGTCCAGTTTTGATCACTCATGACCCCACATGACTTGAATATTTCCCCTAAAAATGTTTTCAGAAATACCCTTAATTTTTATCTCATCATATGTATGTTTAACAATAAGGCTATACAAGGGGATTATATCCTCACACAACTACTGATGATTTTGTAACCTGTTAAATTTTCAATGTATAAACAAAGACACAAACTTATTTAAGTTCACGATTTAGAGCAGTGGTTCCCAACCGTTTTCATTAAGGGACCCGTTTTTTATCATTGACTATACTGATGAGTGACATAAGTGACATATTTTATAATATAATATAATATAATATTTCATATTGTATTAAAAATTATACAATGAACCCAAACTACTAACAGCTAGTGATTTAGACTAATTTTGAGCAGATAATTTCCTGTTTGGGGAACTTTTTCTACAATTATCTGACTGTGTTACATTTTTTTTTAATCATTTTGAACAAACAGACATAGAAGAATTCTGTGTCTTCTTGTCCCTGCATTTTCTATTTACTAAGTTTTCTAGCACGCTTTATAATCAAGAAGGCCTCACGACCCCCCATGAAGCTTTGGCGAACCCTAGTGGGGGTCCTGTTACAAATTATACATTATGTGCCCATTTACAGCCATTTCTCACCAGTAAACATGTCCGGACGCTCCTGATCTTATTGAGTTCCAGCAGCAGCCTCTGAGCCTTCTCATGATTCCCGCAGTATTCATCATAAATCTGGAAACGGCTCCTCTGCAAGAGCCAGAGAAAGACAAGGTGAGAAGGAACAAGAAAGTAAGAGAAAGAGGCCAACAAAGTCAAACAGAAAAAGGGCGTTGAGAAATAAATTAAGCCATATAGGGCAAATTTGAAGAAGAACAATACAGAAATACTGACTAAAGAAGTAAGGAAAAATAAGATAAAAGATGGCAAAAATAGCCCAAAAGAGCAGACATATGAAGTATAGCATTGACGTTGGGTATGTATTCTTTTCCACACTATCTTCTCCACCATGAAATACATAATGTATATAATGTGTGTGGAGAGGGAGGGGGCTACAGTCATATCCTGTCATCTGCCTTGCAGCCATATGACCGACAGACAACGTTCCACCAAAGCAGTTCTCATGACATTCATATTCCATTGTCTGTGAGACGCAGCAGTGGGACCAGACCACACAGCTTTTAAATCTCTCACTACAAAGTCACTCCAGCAAAAATAGTACACGGTCTTCAGCCATTCTAATCTGCCTCAGAAGACAAAGCTGGTGATGTGGAGAGACATGACTGTCATAACAACAAGTGGGGGCACTTACAAAAACACAACTTTATGATTAACTGTAGAATATACCCTTCTTCTTGCATCATGTTTTCTAAGAAGTTTATGAACCCCCTCCAAAAAAGAGTATTTTTTTGGCCCTGGGGACTGACTTTACTGTATTCCAAAAGGGAGGAGTAGAGTCTTTAGTCAGCGTGAACCAATTTGCAGGCCTGAATCACAGAGGGATTTTGATTTAAGCGGCCCATTGTCCAGCTGGCTTACTTACCTATTTGTGTTTCTGTAGTAAAGTTAGATTGTGTAATTCTTTCTTGGAACTTTTAGAGCATCAACAAATCACTACAGAGTAGAAAACTTTGAAAGAAAAAAAAGGCTGCAGAATAAGGGAAAGAAAAAGGGGAAAGAAAAAGAAAATTTGTCCAAGTCTTATCTCTATAGACTCACATGGTCACTCATGACTGAATTATGGTCTTGAGTCATGGGTCATCCCCTCTTTTCAATGACGTCATTTTATCCTAAACCTAACTAACTATGCTATCTGCACTGCTAGATCATCTCTCTTGTGCCTGTACCAACAGCAGCCAAATGTTACATCAGGGCCCTACTGCCAGAGAAGGAGCAATACGTAACAGAAGGATGGTAAGATTTATTGGAAACCTATTATATGCCAGTATGCCTGCAGGCTCTGCATCAAAGAAATGTGATATATAGCAGGGGTGAGCTGTATATCAAAACCCTATCAAGCATAACGCACATGTGCGCTCCCTCATCAGAGAGATAAATTGACAACATGTGGTGTATTTTATTATTTGCAGCAGTACTCACACATAACTGCATTTGAGCTCTTATAGTTAAGTAGGAGAGAAATTCTTCTGGATCATTACGAACAGAGCCTGCATTGATGCCACTGAGCTACAAGAGCTCAGACAAGAAGGTGACATCATACTAAAAGGTGGTGAGATGACTTTTCATCTTGCAAGAGAGGAAGCATTAAGTAATGGTGGTTTTACAGAAGTGTTACTTACAAAGTGCAAGAAGCAGCGCCCGATTTCATGGTGAGCATGAGGGTCAGGCTGGAGCAGCTCTTCCACCATTGACAGGAAGTCTTTGTGAATGGCCAGAATCTCCTCAATGTTGGAGAATAAAACCTGAGAGAGCAAAAGTACATACAGACATGGGATTGTTAAATAAAACTAAGTGTGTACATTTGTTTGTGGGATATCTGCCAGCTGTTATTTCCTGCAATGGAATTTCAAAGATTGTCCAAATCAATACTTTGGCATATGCTGCTTTTTTGTGGCGAGCGGCGCTAGGCGAGGGAATTTCTGAGGTCACAGAAGAGAGAGTGAGGTTTCTTTGTAATGGGCATCTTGGCTTGAGACGTCTTTGATATTTGAATTTCAAACATTATTAGAGATATTTCATCAAAGAAGCTAAAAAAAGGAGCACATTTTTAGGATGTGTTGTATGGAAACTTTGCCTTCATGTGGTGTTTACTTCTGCCCCCTTTTATGTCATTCTTGTGGTGATATTAAAGGACAAAACAATATGCTGACTCTGGATGGAGAAAGAAGCTAGTTGAATAAAATGAAAGCACAAAAACCAGAGAAGTCTTTTATGGGCGTTGCGAGGCAAAAATAATCTTTAGTGATACTAACAACAGCCAAAAATCTGGTATAATTTGATCAATGAGTTTCTGCTCCAAACAACTGGATGTCATTCAGCTGCTTGGTGACATCACAGCCTGCTGCTGCCCAACCCAATAATCCCCCCTACGTTATCCAAACCCCTCTCTGTCTGTACAGCGTGTTCCCAAACAAAACATAACATGGATAGACATATTCCAAAACACGGGACATGCAGTAAATATCCACTGAATGTGTATTTACCTTCAAGAGTAAGCAAGCTCACTGTGAGAGAGCATCCTTTATTATCCTCCAGCCGGAATCATTTATAAATAGATTATATTTACGGCTACTTCCTGGATCGCCCACTACTTCTTTCTCCATTCAGAACTTGGCTATTTTAGGTTGAAAGAGCACCCCAAACAACAGACCCACTTCATTTAGTTTCCAATGTAATGTCCAGTCATTTCATGGATCAGGTTACTGTATGAGAGTTCCGTGTGCAGACCGAGTAAAAAGCCAATTGCCCTGATTTTTTTTTTTTCAAATCTTAATTAGGCCGTCTCATACCTCACAGATTGACCCTCACCTTAACAGTCTCCTCTGTGATGTTCTTGTCGATTTTGGTGGCTGCATACTGGTTGAGACGATGTAGAAACACCTAAAGCAGAGCAGGAAAAAAAGAAGCAACAGTTAACTTCTGAACTGGTCCCAGGATTAAATTACATTTTGGCGCCTGATCGCCTGTACCTTTAACAGGACAATTAGAAGACTACATTTGAAGCCTTGTGTGCAGCTGCAACACTTGGCTGCCAGATCAAATTGGTAACCATCACAATGGACACCTGATACATACGAAACTCGATCTTTGCACTTGGTGAAAAAAAAAAAACATAATAATTGCAGCGCATGGTATTTCAAAGGCGATGTTAAGTGGCTGGGAGTTGGAGAGGCCAACAGTGTGTGAATTGAGATGGATGGGAAGTGCTCTTACTTTCTTAGGTCCCTAAGGATGACGGTTCCCAGGCTGCTTCACTGCACAAGCCCTCGACAACCCATTTAATGCTTCAGGGCACTTTGTGAGAATGGCAAATTAAGAAGGTGTGCTTTGAATGTATTCTTAAAATGTGACTAAGGAAGAATTAGTCATTTTCTGAACTCCGCCTGAGGGAGAGCTTTTAAAGAAGAAGACATCCATCAACAAGTACCAGACAAGAATCTTTATATTCATGTGTGCAATGCTTGGATTACGGTTTGGGCAGACAGGAATCTATCTTCTGTAAAAAGCTCTGCGGAAAACAAATTGACGGCATTACACTTTGATTTTGATTGATGTCTGTAATGCACTTCGTTTCAGGGAAGCTATGATGAAATCCAAAGCAAGCCTTAAAAATCAAAACTCTCATCAAATATAAAGTACATGAGAAATTGCATTCAATAGCTCTGACAACAACAACGTCCCTGATGTTCATATTGTTGTCAAATTTGAATGAGAGCAAGTTAAGCAGCAGTAAAACAATGTCCTTGGCATAACATCACAAAAGCGCACTTGTGTGATGTGGGTTTTGTCTTGCCGACATTTGTTTTAATTTCCCACGTCACACAACAACTAACTTTATTTATTCCCCAAATGGCATAAAAGGCAGTAATTCAAACAAGATAAAAGCAGAAATGAAATCTCTAAGTGTAATAAAGCATGTACTAGGATTGTAAAAACATGTCCGCACACACAATGGTAATGTTCATGACACTGAAGATAAATGAATGAAAAAGAAAAGTGAGGTAAAAAAACATTACTTTAACCAACTGTGTTTATCAACCTGTCAACCACGTACAAAACAGAACTCCCAGAATGCAGCAGGGCTGTCAAAACTACAGATTCTGACCTAATCAGTGGCCTGTCACTGATCACACCAATCCTCCTCACACCAACATCCCAACATGACAGACAACATAATAGGCACAGAGACAGTGCTACAGCACAACACATTCTGACACAAGCTTAATTTCATGGGACACCATGACACAAACCAACAGCAGCACCTCCATAAACCCATAACCGACATGATCATGCTCCGCATTGAAAGGCAGTGTGATGCATACAGTGACTGTGAGTGCAGGAAGGTTACATCTGTCTTTGCAGTTGACCCTAACCATGGGCATCCCTTTACCGCCCCACTGAGGGCCATAATGCCATCTGTCGCCCGGTGCAGCCACACAGCAGGCAGCCTGACCTGAGCAAGCTCACATAATACAACCACAAAGCATGTAAACAGTTTCTTTTAATGAGCGGACAAGCCAAGAATTATTCCTTGACACCAAGATCTAAGTGAGTGGTTGTGACTAGAGTAAACTTATCGAAAAGTTACACCTGATTAATTGCAAACAGATGGCAAGGCGGTTTGGCTAACTCAGTTGTAATATCTCCATTTCCAGCAAATTAGAAAGCCAATGCTGTCTTTAAAAAACACAATGACATAAAAAAAATAACTGAAATCATCTTAATCACATTGGATTGACGTCAAGCAACACTTCAAAGGGAACTATATAAGTGAATGCTTGAATCCGGGCTCGTGGTACAAAAAAAAGGGGGAGGCTTAAATAATCAGCCTCTTTGTTGTAGGCCAACTCCACGCTGATTACCATTCTGTAGCTGCCTTGCCTTGCAACTCTGCCACTCACAAGCATTAGCATCTGATTAGCAAGTCTAATATGTACAAACACGGAGCAGACTTCGACAGGCCCCCGGAAAGGCCTGACAGGGCTTACAGTACAGGACCTTAGCAGAGCAAAAGTAGTGCTAATTTGCATCAAAAACCCTGCTTCCTGTCACGGATGTGTGACATCAAACATGGGCTCATTAGGGAGTCTATCACCACAATTTTAATACTGAAGAGTCTACTCAACAGGAAATAATCAGTATATCAGAAAAACTGTAATTATACTGTTTATAAACAGATATGGGGGACACTGCTTCAAAATATAACACAGCAGATACTTATCAGAAGGAAACAACGTAGCATAATGGAGTGCAGGGACTCTAAATCTGATTGGATAGATGGAGATAATAAATTGTGTTATCACCCAAAAGATAAGAGAGTTGTTTTTGTTGCACAGAAGTGATGGTGTAAAATTGAAATCATCTTTCATGCAGTTTTCAAGATAAGCATACAACACAGAAAACAGATTTGGCCACACTAAAGTCTGAACAATTCATCCGAGACACTGTTCATGTTATTCCTAGAATCGTGGACAGTTCAGACTTGATTTGTGGAAACGAACATGTCTCTTCCGAAGAGACCGCCAAGACTGCCTTGTTGATGTCGTTAAGAGACTAATCCTGGAACGGCTCCATGGACAGTGAATGGAAAGCTGACTGACGGACTGGATTTATGGACACAATAACAGCACCCAGGGTGACTGTGAATATAAGCCCATTTCCAGGTTTGTACAGCACCTGACAGCGCTGCAGTACATAAATGCACAGCTCATTTGTAAAAGCCTGAATGTATTGTATTTAAATTTTTCATTGCATGAGTCATCCAAATCCAATATTGTAATTCAGTGTCAGTGGAGCACATCAAGATTTGTCTTTTGATTGCATCACAGAGTGGAGCATCTGTTCTCCGGTTTAAAGCTTTGGGTGCAGGACAGAATTGACAGTTCTGTCTATGATGATAATAATTACTTACTAGAAACTAATTAAATTTAATGCAGTTTCAAAGGAAAAAATAACTTAGTTGAAGAACTGTTGAAGACTCAACCATGACTCTTTCTCAGACTTCAGTCCATTTTTTAAGAAACACATTTCCGCCATCATCCACCATGGTTGCTGTCTTTGTCCTCATACTCAGTAATAACCAATTGAATTCCAGAGGGACACATTTTGTTCCCTAGGACTGGATGTACTTTTTAGCAGGAATCCAACATGCCTGGGCACCGGACTCTACAGAATCACAAGCCGACTTTGCAATTGCATTGGAAAGCTCAAAAGGAGCTGTTGGTGATCCATGTCACGCTTTCTTTGACCAAAAATGTACAGACATTTTGAACTGAGCAGAAAATATTCACAAGAATGTGAGTTTTTAAGTTTTAAATTGTGTTTTTTATTTATTATTGGCATATTTTTTAGATACCCGGGAAAAGGATGAGGTAAAGTGATGAGCTCAGAAGACAAAGAGGATAAAAGAGTTGGACAACAGCAGTGATTTTCTTACAGTGTTCTTTCCATTGGCCATTCAGGGAAAGTTAGACTCATCTCCAAAATGGCATCTCCTCAACCCCCACAAACACACCAAGAAGCACACACACACACACACACGCACACACACACACACACGCACACACACACACACACACACACACACACACACACACATTTGATGCGTTTGTGTAACCTCACATTTATTTTGGCATAGGAATTCAGCAGCAGCAGCAGCAGCTCTTTTCTGCATCAGATACACACATTTTTTATCCTTAATCATGCATCCACTAGGGGAAAAAAACTCTTAGAAAGTCATTTTGATCCCAGAGGCCCAGGTATAATCACCTGGATTGCCACTCTGATGGCTGAGGGAGGACTACACATTAAAACCCCATTAAAGTTTTCATAATTCCACAGAGCAGATGGGTGTGATAAATAGACCGGTCCAATCACTGCATGTGGCCTTACCTACCATTAATCAACACAGGCTCACATGCTGTAGGCAACAAAGTCGTGGTGGTGGAAATCATGGCTACACAGTAATGTTCAAGTTCAGGGGGGAAAGAAAAGTGATACCAATCTGACCTTTACTGTCAGACTAGAAATTTAAATCAGAAGACTGAAATCAGGTTCAGTTAGCAGACCTGCAGGCCATGATAGAATTACTCATCTGACTTAGTATGACTGAGCATTTGCTTGGACAGAGCGGAAAACTGCCTCAATCTAATGTGAGTGACAGTTCGCACGATAACTGCAGTTTGCTGAAATACGCTTTTTGCTGAGAAGCAGGGTAGTTTAAATTAAACCCAGCATCCTCTGGACTTTGGTGGGAAAAGAAAGGTAGAGGGGTAAGAGACTGGCTGGAGGGTTGTTTCCATGCCGACCGAGTGTGTGCTGAGCCAATCTAGTCCAGGACACTTTGTGAATGGGCATTATGCAACGTCGCTCCCCCCCGGCATCTCTCCACAAGATTGGAAAGATACAATCAGCGGAAGGCTAGCCACTCCCCTTGTATATGTTTATATGTTGATCTCTGTGTCAATGAAACAGATGAATCACACCAGAGGAGTTTGGCAAAAACAGAGGCCACTTGCTTCCTCAAACATGTAACAATGATATAACAAGAGGACAATGATGGACATTCTTGCACTTTGAAATAAAGTATGTGTACAGTACATCTGCCAAGCCAGAGCTTGTGCTTGTGTCAAAAAAAATGCTAGAGTGAATGTCAAGTGAGTGGACAAGAAAGTGCAAGAGAAGAATAAACATGTTGTTCTTCACGTTATACAGCCACATACCCAGCAGAATGAGGTGTGATGGGAATTTAAATCCCACCCGGAGAGGAAAACTAAACAGACCCAAAAGAGCAAAATGATGCAGCAAATTGCTTTGATAAAAAAAAAGAAAGAAAGAAAGCTTTCTAGCTAGTCCGGTGCTACAGAAATTAGTTTGAATCA